AGTAACAACACAGCGCTCATATGGAATTGAACTGTCTAGATAGGTGTCAGTCAGGCAGGCAGAGTGCGAGCGATGGATGGATGGATGGCAAATGCGCAAGATACCCATACCCACACCCATATCCATCGCCGCCCCGGTGGCTGACACAAGCTGCCGTTTCTGGTCGGATCGGGGGTGGGCGGACGTCCCCACCGAGGATATCCACGTAAAAGCACACGTCTCTGGAAGTATCTCTAGAGTAGAGTACCTACGTTACCTTCGGTTGTGACTTCACACATCCGCGAGACTAGGTTGTTTACTCTATCTCTATTCCGGCGGGGACCGTTGTGGACACTGGATACGATACTGGTGACTGGAAATCGAGAACCCATGAAATCGCTCTTTCCCACGGAGTGTCCGATTGGGTACAAAATTTCGGTGGGAGATCTTCTAGAACCACGGGGGTAAAAACTCGAAATCCATACATACCGCCACACCTTCACGCCTCCCTCGAAAGAATGGGTGTGATCACTGATCACTGATTGATGGCTACACCAAAAAAACAACTGTACCCGAGATCTTCAAACCACGGCCTCTACCGTATGGGTAGAAGATCTGTACGTAGAGTAGGTACTGTACGTAGCTGAAATAAACGCCCCTCCACCGCAGACTGCAGTTCCCTACATACCCACGCAGTGACCCAGTAGCCGTCTCCTCTTCCATATCTTATGCATCTGACGTGTTGCGATCGAGCGCGGAGCGCGGAGATAGCTGTCAAACGTGCGTCTAAACCATTACACGCCACCTCCAGGCATGCGCAGCCGCGGTGGCCTGGAGCTATGTACGGCAGCTGTCGCGACGGCTCTCCTCTCCTAGTAAATACTTAAAATGTTGACCCAATTCCAGCCGAGACGGAACCACTTGCCTATGGCACTTATAGCATCGCGAGTCAGTCGACAGCTTACCTTACCTAGATAACCTTACCTTTCCGTCTGTGTCGTCAAATCGAGTCGAAACTGTTATATACAGTGTATAAGCCTGTAACTGGGATGCATAGGCGAGGCCGAAGCCGAAGCCTGCACATTTGCGGGAGCAGTATGTATGTACGGTACGGTATGGAACATAGCAGGTACACATGCAGAACGAGCGGCCATAACTTTGAACTGCCAGTCTGCCACGAAGCAACAGTACAACAGTGCGCACTGCGCATCCATCCCGGGTATGTAGCAGGTACATATCTTGGGATTACTTTAGAATAGAAACTGCATAAACACATCAGCAGTGAGCACGGAACGACACCCACCTACCCATTCAGCGGGCCAACGAGGCTGGCGGCTTCTTCTACCGCGGATTTAGATGTCGTGCCGGAAATAAGCCCAATCATCGGCAGTGGATCTTGGGAGAAAGGTCCAGCCGCCGAGGAGTGCGACATTGATGATTGAGGGGAAGTGCCGTGTGCCGCTCATAGGATGGATCGATAGATAGTTGGATGGATGGATGGGTGGTTGGAGTATCACGACCACCGTCGACCAACGCAGTGAGGAATCAGGATGGAACTTCATGCCCTGCCATCGCCGTTCAAACTTCACGGTTCCACAGGCAACGTCGTGCTCTACATACGATGAATCTACCTACTCTATGGTGGTGTTGGATCGTAGGGTACCCGGTGGCTCGGCCTCACACCAACGCCACAGGCCACAGGCGGAATGTGTCAGATTTCCGCCTTTCCTTCCCATGGCGGCAACACCGCCTGTTTGTTTTCCGTTGGAAGGAAGGATCCAGAGCCATCCGAACCCCAGTGCTGCTGTCACTGCTGCTGCTGCTGCCGCTGTCATTGTTGTTGTTATTGGTGTTTTTGTTGTTGTTTTTGTTGTTGTTTTTCTGTTGTTGTTGTTGTTGTTGTTGGCTCTCCAGGTTCCCTTACCTCGGAAACCAAAGGTGACTATGCGGCGGCGGCGGCAAGACGATGCACTCTGATTTGACCCGAGCGGGATAGTTAGCCCACATCCAGCGTCCCGTAAAAGCAACCCCTGCTAATCGACCTTCCCCGCACTTTCCTTCTCCTCCATGCGAGTACTCTTCTCGCCCAGGCCAGTTCGGCACATCCATAAATGTGATGATAGCGGTTGATGGGGTACGGTAGAACAATCAATCGATAGATACAGATTCCCAGGATGTATACTTCCTTCGTCCCTCGTCCTGAGTTCGTCCGCTCACTCGATCAACAAACCCATGGTGGGTACGGGGGGGGCAGCTGTCCCCGTCGAACTCGGAGTCAGGACGACGTAGGAAGTAGTCTACATAGCGTCGTCGCCAACGACAGTGACAACACAAATCGAAAGGAAAGGCAAGAGGGGAAAAAAAAGAAGAAAAAAAGGCCCACAGCCGGGCCACCTGCCGAAAACAGAAGGCGATTCCATACCCATCCCGTCCAATAATCAAGCGAGGTGAGGAACCGTTGGGGGAGGGGAGGGGGGGGGGATGCCCACAGCACCTACGCACGCAAGCAAGCAATGCCCACGAGTCTTGTCTTCCGTCCATGAGGGGTAATCAAGCGATTGCTGAGTGAGAAAATAGAAAAAGAGCCGGAACCAGAAGTTCTTGGAGCGAGCGAGGTTTGTTGATATCTGGGCGCTGGTGCTTGGTGCTGGTGCTTGGGGCTGGGGCTGGTGCTGGTGCTTGGTGGTGCTGGTTCCGGGCGAGGGAACTCTGGAGTCTGGGGCCGGTTGTTTGGGACCCCACACCGGCATTATTGGGGCTCTCTCACCATCCACACGGTTTCGCCACCTCCCACCACAAATACACTTTGCCGCCGTGAGTGCACTAGCGTTGGATATCCGGTGACGATTGGAGGGGGGGGGGGGGGGGGAGTATCCCGTGCAGTCCGTGACCGTCGACACGAATCAGTACCGCAACGGGGACCATGGACGATCGAGTCGCGATCTACTCTACCTACAGATACATACCATACAGGCCGGGTGGACTGGGGAGGATTCGAGAGCACATCGTTGCCGCCCATAGATACCTAAGATAAGAATCGGAACGCTTGTTTTTCCGAAGGGATAGGCAGAGTAGGCACGATAGGTAGGCATTCCCATGTGCGAGAGTTTCGCATGTTGCGGGGGGTGGCGGCGGGGGGACACGAGATTGGGCAGGCAGCGGTGATCCAAACAATCGAATGTTGCTTGCGGCCGCGTGCGGGCGGACGGGCGGGCGACAGTCAGCTGGGATGCGGTGCGGTGCGGAAGCACGGTTGGACGGGGAAGCACTGGTAGGTTACCAGAATGTACCATAGTTACCACCGCCCAGCACTCGCGCCCACACTGTGCGCACCCATCCACCCATCCACCCACCCAACCCATGCATACATACGCCGGAGAGTAACTAATCATGCATAACCGCGCGATTAGATGCTCATCTCCGTTGACGCCCATGCTGCCTTGGGCTGGACAGTGGAAACGAAACCGGTTGGGGCGTTGTCACTATTGTATTCGTGTCGGCGGTAAACATCAGAGCACGAGCACGAGCGCCCCCGTTTCCCGGTGTGTAACCTGGACCTCTGAGCTGTCTCTCTCTATCTCTCTCTTTTTTCCTATTCCACGCCAGCCGGTGATAAAATCGATTTGGAGACTCCGCGTTTCGGGTCCAGACCGCCCACCCCCTCCCCTCGCTCCCTCCCTAGGCCAGGCCAGGCCAGGCTCTCATCCGGTCGCCGGCGAGTGGGGGCGCGCGTGCGGCGATCATGGTCGTTCGATCTGGAGACGGGTTTCGCTCTCCGTTCTAAACGTCTTCACGATCGGAGCCGTAGAACCGTAAGACATCGGTACCCTGTACTCTAGAGCAGGTCGGTATATTCTGGTCCGGGGAACTGGAGGGGAGAGGGAGAGATGGAGACTCCACTCATTTCGGTAGATGATTGGATGTGTAGTACACACCTACACACCTACTCCACGTATAGGCGGTATGTAGGATCTACGCTTATACTGAACATAGGTAAGCAGGTACATCGGTAGTCGAAGGAAAAACAGCCATCGTACGGTTACCACCGGGGAGCAACGAGTCCGATCCGCCGAGAGAACCGAAAACTCCACCCGCGCCACCCTCTCCCCCTCCCCGGCAGTTCCCCCCACCCAGCTTAAACCTAAATTAATAAAAAAAAAAGCTTCATCTCATCCGTTCGTCCCAGCTTTCGAATTCGAAACGGCCGTAGAAAGTAGCCTCCGAGCCTGGCGCCTGGCGCCGAACAAACACACCGCCGCCGTGCGCGGCTCGGACACCAGCAGCCGAACTCATGCCGGTAGATAAGTCGCTAGCTCTGACTCCGACTGGCTCCCTCCCTCCCACGCTGCCGTGGCTTTAGATACTCTACCCTACATAGATCTATCCGTCCATGGGGATAGGCCATAGGTAACAGTTCTTACTTGGATGCTCTATCTTCCTGTACATACCATACCGTAGATACTGTGGCTTACCGGCATCCCTTATCCCCAATTGCCTGCCTGCCTGCTTCCTTGCGCACGCAAACGCAAGATCTATCATCTCTGCTGTGGGGGAAGGCAATCAAAATCCATGCTCCATGCTTGAGGGCACGGTTACGCCTACCTACTCCAAAAACACGCGGATAGAGTACCGGTATGAGGTACATAAAAATCAAATATATTCATCCCACAAGAACAACACATAGGTACATGACTTGCAAGACTGCGTCGATACGATATACGATACGACGACAATAACGAAAAGGACGGCCCGCGCGCCCCACTCGCTCGGCCGGACTTCTGACAACCCCGGGACGTCGGGATGGGGATGTGAGCGTTGCATTGCCGCCTTGGCCACCGCCACCACCGAATAGTGAGAAAAACGTGATCTTCATTACCGAGTGATTCAACATGTTCGCATCTGCCTCATCGACGAAACCCAGGGCCAGACAGATAGAAAGAAAATCCACATCAATCCCCTCGGTCACGTAGGGATGGACAGCAGAAGAGGAAAGGGCTTTTGTAACAGCCATGACCTACCAAGGTCGAATGTTGTGATTAAACAATAAAAAATTGAAGAAAACAGGAGTACATTGTATGTAACATTATACTCTGCAAAGCAAGGTGAACTATATCATAAGAGAGAAGATGAAAATAACAGCGGCTATGCCAGACTCCCCAGTGCCCACAACCAAATCTATCCTACACGAAACCCATTTTTACAGCAAAGGAGCCGCCGCGTCCCTTCACATCCCAGCCTTCCTCTTCGCATTCTCCTCTTGCTCCCTTCTCCTCACGTCGAGGCCGGAAGCCCTCTCCCAGACGTCGCCGGACCAATTGACGATCCTCTCCATCATAAGTCCCGGTCTGTCGAGCGCTGGCCTGACATCGAGGTAGAACACTGGCTCTCCCGTGGGCTCTGGTGGCCCAGAGTAGTAGTCGATCACATATCTGACTTCCCTGGGTGCATCCTCGCCGGGAAATTTCCGAAGGACATACCAATCGTGGCGATCAAACGGCGCCTCACCACTATCCCTCGAATCAGCACTCAATCCCATCATACACCCGACCATATGCAAAGGCGGAGGAGAGGAAAAAAAAACTCACCCAAAGGTCTCGGGCATGATCCTCCCCAAGAAGCCATAGAGCTGTGCTTTCGGCGTAACATCCTTCCTTCTCCCCTGGAACCTAACCAACCTCGGATTCCACTCCTTCTCGCGTTCCTTCCAGCCCATGTACCCCATGACACCGCCACCAAACTTACCTTCCCACGCACAGATCTCATTCCACGCGCCCTCATTGAGCCAATTGTGGACGGCGACCATGCTCTCCACGGCGTCCTCGGGCGCGTCTTCATAGCCCTTGCGGCGCATCGCATTGTACATCTGCTGCGGACTCGGGTACTCCCAGAGGGAGCCGTCGCCCTTGGGGATGGTGGAGGCCTCGCGCTCCGTCGGCAGCGCGATCTTCTGCCCCGGTGACCGTGTCTGCGGCAGGTTGCTGAACATGAAGTTGAGTGGGTTCAGGGTCTGATCGCCCGCGTCGGCCCCAGCGGTGGTGGCGGCTTCCGGGGTGTATGGGCATTCCGAGGGGAGCCCTGCGCCGGCGGCGGCGGCTGAGGTGTCCGGCTTGTGCATCGGGCATGATGGCTGAATGTGTTAGTACAGAGGTGTTCTGGGGTAAGATGAGGGGGTCGTTACTGGTGGGGTGCCCGTGGTGGGGTGGTTTGATGGGGGAGCGGCCGCAGGAGAGGTCTTTGGTGCGTCTGCCCAAAACCAGCCCATGATTGCAGAGGGGAGTTGTTCTGTCGGTAGCTACAGGTGTATGGTAGTGTTGCAGACGGTGCCTTGATCGAAGGTGGACGAGTTGAGTTGAGTTGAGTCGCGGATCGTGAAGTGGCGGGGAAACCAAAGCTGCGAGTTGAAACTTTGGTGACGGCAAAAAGTGCGGGTCGTGGAGCCTTGGCTATCACGTGGCTCGATAAGCGAGCCCGAGTATCCCCGCATGTAGATACAAAGTAGTTCATGCCTATGGCCTGAAGAGCTCGAGCGCGCACGGAGAGCAAGCAAGCAATGCATACAGGCAAAACCCAGGCTCATATCGGTATTAAGATCCCCCAGGAGTGCCATGCGAATACTTTAGCATCCGCATGCTCTCAGACTTCGCTTGGTAATATTGCCTGGTCCTGTTCGCGTGTGGGAAATGTCATAGACGCCAGACAGGCGCGCTTTGGCGCTAGTGACAACGTTTTCAAGACATCTATTTTCACCATGTGAAGACTTCAAATATTTTTGCAGCATTTACAATGAACTCTAAAAACAGAAACGCAAAGCATGTACGGCTCAGGAGGAACCATATTTTCCTCCCACTCAATCGAGGGTGATTTAGTCGGGTTTTTTTTGCAAGCCCTCACCCCGTTTCGTGACGATCTCGCCGGTGTGTATCTACCTCACACGTAAACAGCTCCACAGCAGAGAAAATCAGGTCATAGATCATCTCCAGATCGTCTCGAGATCGAAGATCAGAGGTTTGTTCCAGCTGGGTACTGTAGCCAAGAGGATAACCATTGCAGCGGCAATGCACGGAGCCTTTCCTCATCTCCATTGCGCAATACCCCGGAATTCGTGGTTGAAACACCTGTCCTCAATTGCTGAACCTCCGGGATCCATGTGACGCTTCCAACCTCAGCGGAGAGAGAGACCGAGATCGCTGGCCTTGCAGAATGGCATTCCTTCTGTTCCGTTCCATGTACGAGCGGTCTCTCCGTTGCATACCTATTAGCAAATTCGATTCCGCAAGCGGCGGCGAAGAGCGCACAGAGAGTCTGCACTTGCCGTTCGACTTCACTCGACTTGCCCCTGAAGCAACTGTATCTTTCCAGGTCAACCCCTGTGCACCGGCCAGCGGGTAGTCGACATCAAGGTGTCTATCTTTGGCTATTGGCCTCAGCATTCCCGACAGCACCTCGGAAACACGGCTTATATCGTCCCCCAACTCCCGGATGCCGAAGAGAAGACTGGTGCGCTACCGTACCGATAGGACGGCGGTCTCCTTTACGGCGCACAGCTGACGGCTTGCTGTTTTTGGTGAGGATGAATGGTTTGTCTGTCTCGTCTCATCATGCGACACCGGCACCTGCAGGGTAGAGTGCTACGTACGTACGATCGCGAAGCGGAGACTCTCTCTTTGATGAAAACGTCCCGATGTTGGCCCGGTTAGGGGAAGACAGACGTACGGACAAGACGCTTGTGGCGTGTGGCTTTCTTGCGTGCTTGCGTGCGTGGTTGCTTGCTTGACTTTCTCGACACTTATGCACGGGAAGTTGTTGAGCTGCTGCAGGCAAGGCAAGTGAATTACAGTGCTTACGGCATCCTTACCCGACCGTGATTGTTGGCACTGAGCATCGAAAAAAAAGAAAAGAAAAGAGAAAGAAAGAAAAAACAACCCGGTTGATAACCTAAAAACGAAAGTAAAAGTTAAAAAGATTTGCCCCAAAGGAAAAGGGAGGAAAGAAGAGATGGGGACGGGCAGACAACCGGTTGTTATTATTGGCGCGCAACTGCCGACCCTCTGCACCACCCACCTCCAATCACCCACCATCCACCAGTCACTCATCCACCAACCTCGCCCCGCCGCCTGTGCTGCGCTGTGTTCGAAATTCCCGCATAGCAAAGAAAAAAAACAGACGAGGACGAACAGGTAAACGAACAAAAGGAGATATCGGTGTGTAACGGCGAAATCCAGGCCCCTTTGATCATGAATTTATGAAACCTGCGGCGGGGGGGCCGGGGATGTGACCGATGCGCAGCTGACGTGACTGAGCGTTCATCACCGCATACAAGAGGAAAAAGAAAATAAAGAGCGATAGGAAGACGTGTGCTGTTTGCTCGTTCGCCCGTTCGTTCGCCCGTTCGGTTGCGACGTCGAGAGCAGGGAGAGCAGGGAGAGCAAGTAAACGGGACGTTCTCGTGGGCTTTCCGAGGTTACTCGACAGGCATACATCTCCTCCGCTTTCATTGGTGTGGGGTCAATGGACCAAACGGCCCTCTGAGCAATCCCTCCCCCCGCCCCCGTACATACCCACACCCACACATCCGCACGTCCATCCGTGGGGCCCACATGCCTTGACCGGCGGATGGAAAGATAATCAACCAATCAGACGTGCCAGAAGGGCGCGTTTCTGTTTCGTCAATCGGATTTGTTTTGCACTGCTTATGTGCAGAGGTATGATCTCGGGAGCAAAGAATCCTGCTATGTATGCGCAAGCTCGGCGTGTACGAGCTTCGAATTCCCCGGGTTTTCGCCGACAAGTGATGCATCCAAGAATCAATCGTACATCGCGTCAGACTAAGGCAAGATGAATGAATGGATGGATGGAAGGAAGATGGATGGGTGGGTGGATGGGTGGGTGGATGAGGGGCGGATGGTCGACGGCTCTCTGTCGCCTATGCGATGCTATGCTATGTGATGCGATGGGTAGACACTCGTCCACGAAACGCAGAGGACGGGAATGCAATGCCTATGTGGGAGGGAAGGGTGCATTGAATCAGCATGAGCTCGAGAGTGCATCGAAGAATGAATCGGATGGTCACCGAGTGTCTCCTCCGTCCGCGTTGGCGGGGTGGTGGGAGGTGCCGGCATCATAGGTTCTCAGCCATCTGCATCATGCCCGCTCGTTCGTTTCGCTCCGTTCCAGAACTGCTCCTCCTTCCTCCCTTCCCTCTCTCACATATCACCCAACTTCCATCCCCCCATGCGACCGATCGCACTGCACTGCAACAGCGGCCCGCCTCGAAACCGGGTTACCAACAAGACAAGCAGCAGCAGCAGCAGCAGCACGCCATCATTTGTCGCGTGGGGCGGTATTGGTAGTGTAGGGAGAGGGCTGGCTGTTATGTATCTCGGGAGAGGTCTTGGACGTTTGGTTTGCTGAGAAGCGTCGGCTGGTTGGTATTGTTTATGCAGCCTTGCCTGCACTGTCTCATCGTCCACGCGTTGCCTTGCAACCACGCTTTTGCCGGTTGCTAGGCTACTTCGGGGTAGAGTCATAACAAACACGTTTTCCCGCGAAACCAACACGACCGCGACGACCACCACCCCATTCCCCCAAACGTACCCGCCGAGAAGAAGCAAAGAACTACTAGTAACTATGGCATCAACCAAGCCTGCTGCCAAACTCGCATCCAAGCCCACTCACAAGCCCGCGCAACATCACCAGAAGCCGCTGGAATTCTACACGACCTCCTCGACCGGCCACCAAATCTCGAACGGTGTCAGCAAGTCGGCGGCATGGCACAAATCCCGCCAGAGCAAGTTGAAGTCACAGTTCGGCGATGGTTCGCTGCCACTCTCGACGATCCTCTCCGCCGCAAAACGGAGCTCTGGAAGCAGCAACAGCAGTAGTGGTGATAGAAACCCCACACCAACCGCGCCTACCGCGACCGCCGCAAAACCGAGCTCCGGAAGCAACAGCAGCAGTAGCGATGGAAACCCCGCGCCGTCCGCGACACCGTCGGCAACTAGTACCGCGACCGCCACAAAAGGAAAGCCCATATTCTCCTCCTGCAACATCCACATCTCCGGCAGCACGGCGCCACACATCAGCGATCACAGGCTGAAGCACCTCCTCACGTTCCACGGCGCCACAGTGCACCCGATGCTCCGGCGGAGCACTACCACGCACGTGGTTCTTTGCCCCGCCGCAACAGTGGGCTCTGGGGCCGGTGGGGGCCTCGCCGCAAAAAAGTTGCAAAAGGAGATTGAAGCGAAGAAGGGCGCCAAGATGAAGTTCGTCACGGTGCAGTGGGCGCTGGATAGTATCGCCGCTGGCAGAAGATTGCCCGAGGGGAAGTTTATGGAACATGGTGTGGGGAGGGATGCAGGGCAGAGCTCGTTGGGCGCCTTCTTGAAGAAGGGGAATGCGAAGTGATGGAGTCCGAGGAAGGACTATCCGGTTTTTTGGGCCTTGCATGATTTGTAAAGGAGTTTTCTGGTTAGAGCTTTGTTTGTTACTGCAGAATTAATGGATCTCGAACACGAGAGTATCGCCTCCAGGAGGATATGGAATACACGGGCATCACCGCTTTCACTGCACTTTTTTAACGCGAAAAACCAACAATCATCGAGTGATGGTGTATGACCTAAAACTGCCCCAGCCAGGAATGCGTCGTGTGGTATCAGAAGGGAAAAACTATACATAGCAAACTGCACAGTGATAATCTGCACCTGGATGCGGATATGGAGCGATCGGGGACACAATAGGGCGGTAGCAATCTCTGTAATCGAGTTGTTCTATACACTCACAAAATGAGGAGATTATCTCCGAGCCACGGGTGCGTCGGGGACCGCTGGACCCGTGGTTTCGAATACCGTCAGGTGCATACTTGGATATTGTTCCACGACGACAACGGCAGCGGCGGCGGCGGCGGCGGCGGCGACAGTGACAGTGTTTTACCGTATGTACTCATACCTACATGTGTAGCGACTGATCAATGTCCTGAGGATGGATGACTCCACAGTGTTGCATGAGATAGCATGAGATGACCTGGGACGTGTTTCAAACCCCGCTGATCATCCGTATCTCCAGTGTTCAGTATCTATATCGTAGGTATGTGGTTGGATTGGGTCATTGTAAATCCAATCCTGTGTGCGCCGGGTGAAAAATCCATATTGTTCAAGAAGCTGTTGGGAACCAACACGGCGTGAGCAGGTTTTGAACAGGTTCGCCTTGATCCAAAGCAAAGAGATGTTTTACAAAAACGTTGGTATTGATTGGTAGAAACCACCATGTCCCCAACATAACATAAAAAGAAAACCCCCATAATAAAAACCCCCCGTACAACTGAAAAAGAAAACCCAACAAAAAATATATCCACTTTTTATCCATCCCACAGTGCTAGGTAATCTAAGCACCGAACCCAACACCCATGATCTCCTTCATATCCTCGTCCTCATCGCTATTCAATCCCAAACCCGCTCCACCCGCCTCATCTCTATCCTTCTCTGCGGCCGCTAACTTCACCGCCACACGCTTGAAGTAGTCGGTCATGCTGCGTTTCTGCGGGCCCTCCACTGTCGTGATGTACTTGTCAAAGATGGCATCGCCCTTCTGCGCCACCTGGAACATTGCGATGAAGGCTTGTTCTGCCGACAGCTTGACGGGAATCACCATATCGCGGACGCACGAGAAAATGGCGGGCGCTAGGATCGAGAGATGGGGTCGTACGAGCTAGTTCATGGTTGTTAGCTGTGGTCAAAGGGAAGATTTTGTGTTGCGGGTCATACCTCTTCGTGCTTGCGCGCGATTGTCCGTACCACAACCAGTGCCAGCCGCTTGGTGTCAGTTGAGTTGCTGGCTGGTCCCTTAATCGCCGTGGCTAGCGCCTCGAGAATACTCTTCACCGTCTCAAAGCCCTTGCTGGTGTTTTCGGAGAGCAGGTACTTTCCAGCAGCCAGAGTACAGTTGTCCGAGACGTAAGGCTGTATTCCATATTAGCTCAGCATTCAGGTGCTGTATCTCACAGAAGGAGGACTGACTGTCTTGTGACCGATTCCATTGACAATGATATGGGCAGTATCGTCGGCGAACGTAGACTCCTGGAGCACAGTGGGTGACTCGAGTAAGACAGCGTTCAAGCCCAACACAGAAACCCTGGTGTATGCCGGGTTCAACGCACGACTCCTGTAGGTCACATTGTCAGCAATGGCAACAGTTACAATAGGGTTCAAGTGACATACTTCAGCACTTTCGAGGCTTCGTCTTTGCTCAGATGCCGTACTAGCACACCGAGTAAACGCGCACTCGCGATAGCGGTAGCCTCTGTGTATCACACAATCAGTCGCCTGACATTCCCGCACGTAGTCATGAGCGAATAGGGTACTTACCATCATCCTCATCCAGATCATTCTCGACCAGGGACAAGATAGAAGTCTTGGAAGCTTCACCCATATTCCCACCCGCCTTACCAACGACCTCATACAGCGCCTTCAGCATAGCATCTTTAACTCCCGCATCCGTGGTTCTAGCACCAGTAACAAGCTCTGAAATAAGCGGGTCGATTCTGGGCGTCAACGTGATCAACGTGCCCAGCGCTTTCGCCGCGCGGGTTCGCAGAGTCTCGCTGGACGTATCCGCCAAGCTCTTTGCGAATGTCCGCTGCAGCTGCGGCAAGAATGGCTTGAGGTGCGTGGGGATCTTGAGCAGCAGAGAATTGAGAGTGAGCAGGATGGCGGCTTTGACGTCGACACTGCGTTCCGACACAACACGAATGAGAGGTCCGGTGATCTGGGTGACGAATGGCTTCAGAGAATCGCCGCTCGAGCGGTCGATGATATCAGAGATAGCGAGTGCAGACTGAGTGCGTTGCTCGGGAGTTCCATACATCAGACCTTGTAAGAAGATTGGAAGAATGGCGTTGATTCCCTTTGGCAGTTGGAAACCTGGCAAGTTGGCGCCCTTGACCCCAACCTGCTGCAAGACCTGTCTGGTGGAGAACACGAGTGACTCCATCTCCTCCTTCCGAAGCTTCTTGGTAAGCTCGTTGAGGGCATTCCATGCAGCCTTGACCACCTCCTTATCCGAATCGTCAAACGAGATAAGCAGGGCGCGGATGCAGTCCTGTAGGTATCGGCTGTAGTCCAAGTCCGTTTCAGCAAAGAATTTCGCGAAGTGATTGCAAGCAACCGCACGCTTGCGATGGTCATCGTGCTTGACCAGCTTCAGCATCTCGATCATCGTAGTGTTCAGACCATCGAACTCGTCGACGGAGAGAATCACGGCATCGAATGATTCGCCGAGATCCTCGAGCAGCTCTGCATCCTTGCTTGCAACAATAGCATCCATCAAAGCGTTCATGATGTGCGGGAGGCGTCTGTTCAATGCCGAGCCAGCGACACGAGCGAGTGATGCCAGCGCCTTTGCGTTGAAACGCGTGATAGGCGGTGACAGCAATGTCGGGATGAGAACCGGCAAGATGATGTTCGACCTCGTCTGCTCCGTGAGAAGGGTAAGAAGTGCAGCCAGTGCATTGTCTGCGTCGTCCTCCGACTGAAGAAGGCTGAGCAGATGAGGTAGCACCTGGTCGACCGCTCTCTTTCCAATGACTTTCTGAAGAGTTTCAAATGCTTCGGCCGCCGCCTCTCTAACATCGCCGTTGGAATCGACCAGGGCAGTCCGAACGATAGATACGAGCGTGCTCTCGTAGGGCTCCAAAGCCTCGGGTACTGTAGAAACGATCAACTCCTTGAGGGCAATGCAAATACCCTGCTTGGAATCCGGATCAGTTGCTAGCTTCAGTCCATCGTCAAGCGAGGGCAGAAGCGTCGACAAAACTCCTTCACCGGCCTTGCGAATGAGCTCTCCGAGAGCTTGCGAAGCAATGACCCTCTGTTCGAGATCCGAGCTAGCCAACCGCCTGATGATGAGTTGAGTAAGTGCAGGAACCAGCTCCTTGAGCGTCTTCTGGCTGGAGACCAAAGCCTTCCATACTCCAACAGCGGCAAGCCTGACTTGACCACTGGTATCGCAGCGGCAGATGTACAAAGCAGAGAGGACCTTATCCCGCTTCTCTTGTCCGAGGATCTCCAGCAGCGAGTTGTTGATTTCACCGGAGGCCTCCTCGTCTTCCTCCATATCATCCGTCTTCGTGATACCCGTGAGGTTGAAGAGTAGATCGCCGACCAACTCAACGGAGGAAAGACGAATGCGGTGGTTCGAGTCAGCAAGACCACGCTCCAGCTCAGGTAGCAACAGATCAATAGCCCTAGTCGCGAAGTTCTTGACGAGCAGACGACCAGCCCTGAGCGAGGTCTCCCGAATGCTTTCGACATCATCCGCAAGACCCGCGAGAATCGGGGGAATGATACGGTTGAGGTATGCACTGAAAGAGTTTCCGAAGCAGGCCGGCAAGAAGATGAACAGCGACATGAAACCTTCCCGCACTGCGGCTTTCGAGCTGCCGGCGTTCTGGAGAATCGTAGGCAGAGTCTCCTCCAGACGCTGAGTACCCAGTCCGGCCAATACTTCTGACAGTGCTTGGGCAGAACCCAGACGGTCTCCTGCGCCGGTGTCCGATTTCAGAGTGTTCATCAGTCCAGGGATGATGTCTGGCAGAGCATCCTCTCCGAGCTTCTCGATCAGCGAACCCAGGGCCTTGGATGCCGTGGCACGAGTCGAGGGAACAGGATCCACAATGGCCTGCTTCAAGCCACCGACCAAGATCGGGATGTGCACCATCAAGTCCTTCCTCTCGGTAAGATGTGCCAATGATCCGATAATCTGGGCGGCTTTTCGCTTGGTGGTTGATCTGTCATTCAGTCCACGTTCCAAAATACGAGCAACCTAGAAAATAATCAGTATATCTACGTTTTTAGTACCAAAGATATACGTACCAGCGCAAGCGAGGGCGAGTCCAAGTAATGGACGAATTGCACCTTGAGCAACTGATCCAAAGCTTCGTCGGTATACTTCGTAGGGTCGCTGAGAGCCTTGAGAAGAATGCTCGTGAGAGCCTTGATCTCGGGATTGCTGATGACTTCGCCGAACTTCTTCAAACTCCTATTCGCTGCGGCTCTAACTTCTTTATGGGAGTCATTGAGCACAGTCGTCAACGGAGGAATGATCTCCGGTAGACTGATGGCCAGTTGATGAGGCGCGAGATAAGCCATAGCTCCAAGAGTTTCGCAAGCACCCTTCTTGCTTCGCCAGGCCTGATCGTCCAAGCCTTCCAAGAGATCCGGTAGAATGACCTTGACACCGTAAGAGCTGAGACTGGAAAAGCACACCTTCGCCGCGTCTGAGCATGCTTCTCGCACGTCGATCACTGGATCACCGAAACTTGAGAGCAGCATAGGCAAGATCTGAATGACGTATGGCTCGAAAACACGCCCGAGGATCAAAGAAAAGAGCTCGAACGCAAAGAGGGCTCCCTGTCGGGAGCTAGTGCTTTTCTTGTCTTCGATCGCTGCTCGCAGACTCTGCATAACCCTGAAGTCCTTCAACGCTGAGATACCGCATCCCTTGATGATACCGGCGAGACCATATGCTGCACCACGTCTTGCAGCATAGGCTTTCGCGTTAAAGAGCTGCTCCAACATCTGTTGAATATAGCCAGATGCCTTCTCTCTCAATGCTTTGATCAGCGGCGGTAGACACTCGGCGACAGCGTACTGAACAGTCTCACTGGGCACTTCGAGTGTTGCCAGCAACCTTTCGATGACGGCGGAAATTCTAGGATCTCCGGCACCCAAATGTCTACCCAGTGCACCGTAAAGGATAATCACCGCCTCGTTGATTCTGTCTCGCACCGCAGAACCATCATCGGGAGCCTCCAGGGTCCCTTCGAATATTTGCATGAGCTCCTCAATCTGGTGCGCACCCTGCGCGTTGATGATAGACGACGCGGCATCGATCATTTCGTCCCTCACCAAGGGATATCGGTCGGCCAAGGCACCCTCATCGATCAAGAATCGGGAAAATTCGACCAGCTTGTTGTGATCGAACAGCTCTGCCAGTGCCTTCAGCGCCAAGGCAACACCACTTCGAGCCTCCCATGGGTCCTTGTTATCACTCTTCTTGAGCATGCCATACTCGTCGTACTGCGGCACCAAAGGTTTCGCCTTTTCGCGGTACAGGTTTACCAGCGCCGCGACAACGTCGTTAGAAGACTCAGGGAACGAGTGGACGGCAGCGGCCAACGCTCTCGAAGCAGCTCCACGGAGCTGCTTGTCCTGGGAATCCAAATAGGGTATCATTTTGAGGGCGGTATCCTTCGTAGCTGCCATGCTGCTCTCTTCCCATATCGTCTGCGCAATCTCCACGTTTTGTTCCACTTCGTCGTGGCATGCCAGCCACAACTTCTCGGAGAATTCGAGGTGCGTGAGATCTATTTCTGCGTCGATTGCCTGTAAACATGCTGTCCGGACGTTGACTTCCGGGTTGATGGTCCCGTTGATGAGAATATCAATTTCATCGTCGGTGATGGAGTCAGATATGCATCGACACATATCCAGGAAGCAGTCCTTGAATGGCTTGTAGAGGGCAGAGTACCGCTGCATCGAGAAAATCAAGCACTGAAGCACCTCATCTCGTGGCAGCAGTGGGCTCGAGCCTAATCTTCGTCAATGACCGTGATAACGAGTGATCGAAATATAGAGACATACAAACTTGGGTATGGAAAGCAATGAAGTCCAATGCCAGCACAACTTGTTCATCCACCTCATCTTGGGACTCGGCACCAAGTCCCCCCTTGTTCATGGTCAACAAAACCATGGGCAGGATGTAAAACAACGAAGTCGTATCGAATGGACGCTGTTCTCCGGAGACTCGAAGTCTGTACAGGAGACGCATTGCTTGGGCTGTGTTCCTATCATTAGTAGGTATATCTTTGAGGCCCACGATGGAAGGAGTAGTTACCCCCAAGCGTTTCTTCACAGTACTCCTCGGGAATTTCCCCTACACCCAAGGCTCGGAGACTGGCAATACCAATGAACGGCCTCAAAGCACCCAGTCTTGGAGATACATGCTCTGAACAAGCCTACACAAAAATTATCAGCGGCGGCTACACTTGTAGAGACGGCGAATGAATGGAAGGACGCACGAGAAAAGCTTTGATTCCTTTATCCTGAACTATCATTCCCGCACCTGCCTCCAAACTCTGCAGGAGAGCCTTCACCGCCTTATACATCCAAATCTCTACGGCAGTGGGAGCTCCCTCGGCGAGATGTTGGATAATACCAACGCCTCGACTAAGCCGTACTTCTATTTCCGAAAGCCTGGTTCTGATGACCGCCTCCTTCGCGAGTTGCTCCTCTACCCTTACTTTTTCGTCGGCTGTCAGTTTCCGCTCGGAGCCTTTCTTCTGAGCAAGTTGAGCCCTGAGCTCGGCCTCCCATTTGAGGGTTTCAGCATCCTTGGATTTCTCCACAATCTTGGGTCCAGATTTCGCCAGTACGTCAACGAAAGGGATTCCAGTTCCAGCAGGTGTTCTCCAGATCGAAACCTCGGTTGGGCCGATGCCCTTGAGGAGGGCAGGATCCAGGTCGCTTTCCAGCAGCTTGACAATTAGAGGTGTGATTGTTTCTGGTGCGACAAAGGCCAAAGTAGCAGTTGCTTTTAGTGCCGCGTCCATGATGTACACCGACCTTCCACTCAGTCCCGTGTACATCTTGATCTCGTTGACCAGCCTTGACGCTTTCTCCGCCGACAGTTGTCCGGGGTCAACATTTGATCTCTGGCAGAGATTGATCCAATCCACGCCGACAAGCTCGTGGTGGGAGATGACAGTAAGGTCCACGAGAAGGCTCTTCACCGTTTCTTCGTCGCGAACAGCACCGACTTCCAATCCCCCACTTGCAACATTGGCTGGTAGTGCTATTGCATATATCGCGCTCTTCAAGTAGATTCCTCTCGTTTTCGATAAAGCCGCCGGTGTATCCTTATAACCATGCTCCAATTGCTTCACCCACTGCCATACTCCGCTCAAAATAATCTTACCAATGGCCTCCGGGTGCTTGAGGTACACTGTTGCAAGAGCAGCTGTAGCTTCTTTACGGCATTGAGGGCTGGCGGAGGCTGTGGAAATCAGGTACAAGAAGGCAGAAGCCCACATGTCCGAGTGGCTCTTCTCATAGATGACATAGCTCGCAGTCGCGGCGAGGGCTCGGATTGCCCATCGGTGATCTTCATCAGACGAGAGCTTCGAGTAAACCTTGGGGTTGAGCAAGAAGGAGACCTTGGGAGTCACAGCAAGACAAGCCTCTGCGATGTTGGCATTCTTGATCAGGGAACCAATCTTCGGGTCGTTCCAGGCCGAGAACCGATCGAGAGCAACCGCGGCGACGACATAGCCAGCGACGACAAGACCACTCTGCGTGGCAGGCGTGGGGTTTGCTGCAACTTCGTTGAAAACCTCGGAAAGCTTTCCGGCGATACCTTGACAGAACTCCCGGAAACCCGCGGATGCATCTCCGGAAACATCCCAGATCATACTGCCGATTTTGGTGAACCACGTTCGTCGTACAGTAGGCCGTTTATCGGTCAAGCCCTTGTTTATGGCATCCACAATCGATTTGTCGATGGCCGCGTCACCCTTGAGGCCGTAGGACAGATGCCTGACAAAGGTGGAGACAATTGCCGTAACCGTAGCCTCGTTGGGTTCCTTAACCACCAGGCCAGCCAATCCAGTAGGAACCAGGTTGGATAAAACTGTCGACAAGGGAAGTGTGTCCAACATGTGAGCGTACAACACTCTCTGATCCGCTGATGAGATCTTGCCGGTTTTCAAGGGACCGAGGATCTCAGTCGTAACTTTCTCAAGCACGGCCTCGTCCTTGGATTTTCCCACGGCTGTCTTGAATGCTGATGCCGCACCATTCCGGATGACAGGATTAGTGGATTTGATGCATGAGAGGAACTGCTTCAACAGTTTCTCGTGCAGAGGTTTCGCAAGATCAATCTCCGCAGAGAGTGAGCACAGCAGTGGCGACACCACGTCGTTGAGTAAGATCTCGGGCGACCGTAGCAATCCCTTTTCGAGGGGTGGCAGAAGCTCGGCCTCAAACTCCTCGCCGGAAACGAAGTTTGAGAAGAAGTCCTCCAGGGCACCGGAAATATGATTTGGAATAATTGTTCGCGATCCAAGAATCTCTCGTGTGTAGAATGCGAAGATATCCTTCTTGACGCCCGTCAACACTTCTTTGGGCTTCGGAAGCCTAGCGGACACACCGCAGACAACGCCCAAGAGTAATGCGTTCTTATGTGTCGGACAGGAGCCCTTGGCCGCGAGCTTTTCCACCATGCCTGTAATGATCGCCTCAAAGCCCTCACCCTTGAAGGCGGTCCGGAGTCCCCGTCTCGTAGTGCGCAATGCCTGCTCCTTCATGCTATGCTTCGCGGTGGAGCCCAGACAGAGATCCAGCAAAGACACCATAGCCACCAAAAGGTCCGAGAACGGAGCACCCGAAGCATCCCCGAGAGCGGCGAGATGTGGAAACAGCTCGGAAGTCCATTCGAGGAGAACAAACGCATTTGACGCGGCAATGCCGCGTTTCTGGGATTCGTTCTTGATCGCCGGGATGATGCGCTTCACAAAGGCCTCTGAGTACTTTTCCGTCTTGCAGAACGACTCGAAGCATTTCCGTACCGCTTTGCGTGACGGCCGATCAATGTAGTATGGATGGCTCGTGAAGAGCAGTCGCAGCACGGATCCGATCTGCTCAAGCGGCAGCTCTACAACAGAATCAGCGGTTTACTCCCTACGATTTCCATGAATCCTGTAACCGACCGCCACGCTTAATACGTTCATTCAGCTGCGCAAGGCTCTGAGTCCGCAAAGTAGTAGAGCTACCCGTCAGAGCCAACACGAGGTTGTCTTCACTGGTAGAGGTGGTGGGGGCACTGGCGTCTGTATCGGCAGCCATCGTTGAATGCCGGCCCTCGGCAGGTGTAGAATTTCTGGATCGTATCTAAGGGTGTGGGATTGATGGCGCAGTATCTCTGGTTGTTGAAGAAAATTATAGCTTCTCGTCGAGGTGGGGTGTTTCTGCAAATATGTGGGGTACGGTGTATGGAGTTTTCCTTAACGTTTTTCGCGGCTCTGTTCAGGCGCCGCTTCACCCCGCAGGCGAGAACATAGCAACTAAGCACGTCCCCCTAGCCACCATCACTCCGACTCATAGCTGCTCACCTACAAGTTCCGATCAGCAACGGTGACCGAAAATGTTTTCCTCAGTCCGTGCCTCTTTTACTTTACCGAGATGTATTCTTCAGCGAAGTAGGCAAGTGTGGACAACACGGCTTCTACATTAGCAGGGCAAACGAGCAGCGACTAATTGATATGGCACAGCAATGGAAGTCTCGGACTCTTCGCGAGTGCAGGAAAGAAATCATCCCGAGTGAATTGGTGTGATGGTAGAGTTGTCAGTGTCTCTTGCTACTTCTCTCCGTCATCAATGACGCACGCGCCCCGTCGCGTCCCCCCTGATACTAATAACCAGAACCCCCCACAGAGCAAGTCGCCTTACACTACCACCACAATAACCGCCAACTCCACCGAAATCCCCACAACCGACGAGATGCCTCCAGGGCAGAAGCGCAGTGCGGCCAAGCTCAAGGAAGACAGTGGAGCTGAAGAAGCAGAGTCTGGTGCGAAACGTGCGAAGTCTACACCCAAGAAGAAGTCGGCGCAGGGAGAGACCGGAAAGCAGTACACTGATGTAGATGGAAATGCCTATTGGGAGGTTTGTTGGCGGCCACCATTCCAATGGCGATCTTCCCGTTGCTGACGATTGATTGTAGCTCGGTGGCCGTCTTCGCCGCATGACGGTGAGCGAATACAAAGGCAAAACCTTAATCGGCATCCGCGAATACTTCGAGAAAGATAACATGACGTTGCCAGGAAAGAAGGTTTGATGACAAACCCCACATCATTATACCGCGGGCTGTGGATCTAATAAAAGCCAGGGAATCGCTCTCAGCGTCCAGCAAATATCAGCCCTCGTGTCGGTCCTGCCTCAGCTCGAAGCCACCCTCAGAGAGAGCGGCATCGAGCTCCCTAGACCGGTCTACAGCGACGAGCCCATTAAGGCCGTGAAGGCTGAGGAGCCCGAAGAGGAGACGAAAGATGAAGAGAAAGCTGAGGAGGAAGTGTCGGAGGAAGAAGGGGCGAAGTCGTCGCCCTAGATGCATCAAGCGCAAAGAGAACCACGGCTATGGGACAAACGGTTTCATCTGCCGAATTCTTTACTGTTTGCTGCTCTCCGTTCTTTGGCTTGCGGGATTTGCAGTTAGAAGATGGGGCATTTATGGCTGGACAATAAATGCAGAATCATGCACACATATATCTCTGTCCCTCACTCTTCAGTGGCTGTTCCACGCGGCCCACGTTCTCCGTACCAGTTAGAATACCGGAGTTGTATCACCCCCGCCGCCACCACTGAGAATCGATTGCTGCGTCCAATGCTTGATGCGGTCGAGACGTGAAGTGCTCATGCATCCAGCCGCATGAAAGTCGGCAACCACCAACTACAGCCAGCTTACATCACTTTCACGTTTCAGCTACCGTCTCCGATTAAGAATTTTCTGTCTCTGGGTCCACCTCGCTCCGCCCTCGCCCCACACCTCCAGATGGCACAATGTGGGACTGCACAGGACGGCAGTCGTGCTCATGTCCAGAAACAATAAAGTGCCTAGAGGTTTCAACGTCCGTATTCCCAGCGACTTTCCCCCGCCTTGCTGTATTCCGAACCAGCATGACAGCTAAGCCGAGTAAGTACTCTATTTGCATAGGGTGCTTCCTTGAGTACTTCTAACATACCCCGTCCAAAAACTGCAGCATTCTGCAGCGATCTTGATATCCTTGGCGCACATCCGGGAAATCAGGAGTACCTCGCTATGTTGCGCGATGTACCCACCAGCCACACCAATGCCACATACCGAAATACTAAAACCAGCCTGACGAGAAGAGTTGAAACCGAAAAACAACGGACGGCAACCAAACCAAACCGAACGCAACCAAAAGCGAAGCACCGAGGTACTTACATAATTTCCACCAACCCACCAACTACATCATCACACGCCGCCTTTCCGTGCTCCCAAGCCACACGTTACTTTCATGTCGCCGCACCCGTACTGTATCCATACTCAGCAACTATTAATATCAGGTGAGCAACAGAGGAAATCCTCCGTTCTCACCTGCTGCATCTTGCCGATGATCTTCTCTTCTTGACAGGCACACGTGCCAGCGCGGACCTTCTTTAATACTCGCTGGACCTGTTTATGCGTACTTCCCCCTTGTAGATGGGCAAAGCGGATCCGCGACTAAAGTGCTGATCTGCCCGAAGCACCTCGGGCGTCTCCGTGATCGAAGCAGTGAGTTGAATCCGAAGTGCGGTGCGAGCGGCCTTGTCGGCCAGTCGCTTTTTGGAATCTAGGAAGGTACATAAAGCAACACGAGATACGAGTGGCATGAGTTCCCCCCAATGGCTATCGGGGATTGAAGTTCGTCAGATGTTGCCAGAGCTGTCGATAGGAAGTCCGGACCGGATGAGGCAGGGCGGATTTCGGCCTAGATCTCAGAAGACTGCGCCGTTTCGGGCGAGCAATGGACGGACTGACACTCGGTGGAGAATTGTTGGGCCGCCAACTGTGGACTTGGCACAGGGCTGGCTCGCAGCCGTCACGGTGATTGACGCGGAGGGGCAATGGTGAAGTGAAGCTCGAGATACCTAGAGTGAATATAACGGTTGTCCACCGTACGGACTATTCATTATCGCTCACTCGCTTCTCTGCCCTCGGTTAAGCGCGCCCCAGGTGGGCGTAGTGCGGGCTTGCGCCTCATACGTTGTACTATTCACATATATAGAAATAGAGACTGGTCAATGGACATCACCAAGTAACCAAAGGGTCCCTCCTACTAGCAATGGTACACTCTCACCGTCTGCTAAGTAAGTACTTACCTAAGGAAGCAGTTACTTGCGAGCGACAAAAATACGTGACGGGAATAGACGTTGATGTGGTGCTCCAGCGGTCGCACATTTTTGTCCCTCGTGGGTACTTGAGTGGCAGATTCTCCATGATAGTACTACTGCACCATCGTTCCGGCCAGTACCGCTTCTTTGTCTACGACCCGTATCTGACAAGGCAGTGCCCATCCACAGCGAAGATCGCTGTAGGTCGGTGCTAGGCCCTTATTGCCCGTGTAACGTACAAGGCCACTCTGCATACAAATACTGACAAGCAGCGGTCTCTACGTATACAAGCACTCTGCGCTGCGTGCGTCAGACAAGTTCCTTCGTCGCAAGGCCTTCGGTGTTCTAATAATATCCTCGTCGACGAACCACAGCCCACCAGTGTCGTGTGTCTTGGTTCCCACTCCGGCTAACTCCACATCACAACTCACAAGGCGGTGGTCCGGCTGATTGACGACTAGCAAACCCGGATCTATGTACATACTCCACCTCTGCGTCTATGAGGGGGGGTTGCCAGTGAGCTGAGTCGGCCGACGCTGGCTTTGTCACATAAAACTCGGGATTCCCGCCCTCATTCTGATTTCGTACACTTTACCTCTCGCCGACCAGTAAAGTGTCTACATACATCGACACATGAAAGGATTCCAACAACGATACAGATAACGATGCGATTGCGATCCTTGATCACGGGTCTCGTGGCCACGACCGGCGTGTGGGGACAGCTTCTCGGTCGACAAAACTCCGGTTGCGACGAATGCACGCAGGACGAGGTCTGCCGAGTAACGGAGGCCGATGGAATTCATTGCATTCCTGCGAATATGATCGATACCACCACGGTGACGGTAACGAGCTTCACATTTGCCCGGTCGACGAGGACCCGAACGACCGTTGTCAGTCCGAGGACATCGACGTCCACATCTTGGAGCACGGTCACGGCATTCACCACCTCTCTACCGGCCGAAACCGATGAGGAGTCGTCCACTACTACTACTACTACCTCCAAGATTAACGGCCGGGCTCTCAAGGGCCGCCAGGAGTCGGTCGCCGACCTCTTTGAGGCAGTCACCGTTAGCACGACCATCAAAGAAACCAGCTACACAGGTGATCCCACGACGACGACGTTGACCCGCACCTCTGGGAGTCCCATCACCGCGGTCGCCGTCACGGCAGCAACAACAACAGTCTGGCAGACGACCTCGGCAGACTCCCAAGAGGACGAGGAAGATGTGCACCATGGAACGCCGACCTCCACCGTCGCCGGAGCAATCGCGGGCGTGATCGTCGCCCTGGCGTTTATCGCGGGAATCGCTTGGTTTATGCGGAAAAAGTCCAAGCAGAATCATGCGGTGGAGAAGAAGACCCGCGCACTGACTGCGTCGGACTCGGAAATGCAATTGCCTCGTACGCCCGGAGACGAAACTGGTATGCCATCCCATCCTACATTGTATCTCTGCTTTGTACTAACACACTGACCCACAGACACCACCACCTCCTCGCCGTCCACAATCCCCCCCTTCCCGTTTGCCGGCTCGACCGCCACCAGGCTCGCCGTGCCAGACCCATCCCACCTCCACCAGAAGCCACACCACCAACGCAATCCCTCAGCACTATCGCTCACCCACGTGAGCCCGCGGCTATCGCTAACCTTCCCGCCCGATTCCGACGTCAGCCCTATCGAGGGAGAGAGCCCATTCACGGCGGCCAGAAGACGCAGTACCAGCCAGTCCACTGCTTCTGCGAAGAGGACAAATGTCATCCCTAGGAAACCGGTGCCTACTAGTCCCGATGCCGGGACTCCGGGAAGGGCGATATAGTTTGATCTCACTCTACTTCATGTCCATTTGATGTCGTTTTCTTTTCTTTGGCTTTGGCTTTGTCTGTCTGTCTGTCTGTTTAATGATGGTGGTGGGGTGTTTGGTGTTTCGCACTTGCTTACATACTTTCTTGCATTCTTGCTTTTCCTTCTACCTACACGGTCATTTTTGTGTCATTTTTGCTTTGCTTTTTGGGGGTATTATATCACACCATACGGCGTATTTTTTTTTCTTCTTTCTCTTCCAATTATGATTGTTTGATGTTCTTCTAGATAATGGTCTGCTTGAACGAACACACGAACGAACACACACGAACGAACACACGAATCTAATGAAATTCCGGTCAGGAGTGGCCTGACAAACCACCCCGCAGCGAATAAATCCATCAGTGACGTGTACCTACCCACCAGAGAGGGGAAGGAGAGGGCTCAATCATTTTGTCATGGCCGGCACTCGAGAGTAAGAGCATTGATGTTCCAGTCTCCCAGAGCTGGCTGTGACCTCGCATGAAGCTCCATCCCCGCTGACAACCGCAACCAACAAAGCAACCTCAAAATCCCGCTCGACACCACCTCCACATCGCCCGGACAAGAGCTAAATGACATTCAAGCATCACCCCGATCAAGAAAATCCCAGGCGCACCGCCATGCCCAGCTTTTGCGGGCACTATACTTATATGCATTTATGGGTTTATGCACGGGGGTCTGAGAGCTTAAAGCTTAAGGCGGAGAGCTTAAGGCGGCGGGGGAGGCGAGGCGCGGAGTCCAAAGAGGAAAAGGGACCGAGACGAGACTGAGTCACAACTGACACAACTGACACAACTGACACCGGAGGAGTAGCTACTACTAGAAAGGGCGGGATATAGAGGACTAGTTAGTAGGCTGTAGTAGATCCCGTTACGGCGGTTTGAGCCGTGTCGCAGTTGCAGTTAGGAGTGGGCCTAAGCTGCCCAGTCGTGGAGGCAGTGGTGTGCGTTTGCTACCGGCGCTCTGTAGTTTTGCGCTGGGCTGGGCTGGGGATGCTGCGTTTACATGTTTCAATGTTTCAATGTTCCTATGGCGTGGGCGGGTTTCGCGGTTTGTTGCCCGTGGGATCGGGTTCTGGTTCTGTGGTTCTGTGGTTCTGTAGTTCTGTGGCTGTGGCGGTAGCTGCTTGATGGATCGTGATACCTACATTTGATACCCAGGGAACAGCAGCTGGATTAGCCAACATGCTCACTTTGGCTTAAGCAATAGACTGCTCGTGCCTATTCTATAGTATGAGATCATTATTACAGTTCTCGTCCTCGACCTCGACCTGAGGCTCCATCACCGGAAATTCGGGGAGTCGGGACGATACCTACGTTGGTACCCAGCGCTGACAAAGGGTATCAACTCATGTACTCGTACTTACAGAGGTACCATGGTACATAAGTAATCCAGAGGTAGGTACATAGGGTAGGTACCCAGTGATTACCGAGTGATCACCTTCTCTCCCCTCCCCTCTCCATCGCGGCTCACTCAGCACACCCCCCCCCCCCATCCGTCACCGTACCTGTAGAGTAAGTATCTCCCGGTCATGTGGAAGCATACGCACTCCACCCCCCATCCCCCATTCGTGGCCTTGCCTGGCCTGTGTCCGGTAGTTGCAGTAAGCGCGCCTTGTCCGGCCGTCCATAGCCTGTAGTTAGCCTGCCGTGGCCTTGCCTTGCCTGACGGCGACGTGTGCGAGCCGGTACCAGTATGAGATCGTTAATGCGACGGTGGGAATCGGGATGGATCATCCATGGACCACCGTATGTAATCAGCGCATGGAGGCAGCGCATGGAGGCAGCGCAAGGAGGTTTTGACGGTTGTTTGTATGTACCTGGGAATGTGCTTACACACACATATATACAAACACGCGGACAGAGAAGTTCGCCGTATACGATTACCGATATCATCTGGTTCATCGCTTTCTCCCTCGCTGTCTCCCTCGCTGCTAGAGGTCTCTTCACGGTTGTCATTTACTTCCAGGTCAAGAAAGAGCAAATGAGACAGCCGTGAATGGCAACTCAAAGTCAAGGAACCTAACGGCTGCTGGATTCGATTGAAGCTCTCATTGTTGCGCGATTTGGGAGTTGGGCAGTTTACGGATTCGGTGTGTTGGGATTTCGAAGCTAGCTCCGAGAACTCGAGAAGCCTACTCCCGGCCGCTGACGTCTTGCCTCCTGCCTCCGGCCAACGGCCAGCCCAGTGCCCCGGCAGCTCCGCCGAGGACGGAGTCCGAGACTCAGAGGGTCTCCCTGAGTCCCTAGGACCTAGGTTGTATGTGTATAGGTAGTTCTAGGTACTATGTATAACCGTCCCTTCTACTCTACTCCGAACCCCCGCGCGCCCCCAGGGCCGCAACAAGAACTATATTCTTCCTTCCCCCGGGCCCCACTCGCCTCTACAATATACATACGTCCCGCAGGCTCCAGGCTGCAGACTGCAAACCCTCCACGGACTTCGGCTGCCACCGTCGACCGTCGACCGACCGACCGAGCGGGTCACCGGGCACTTCGGGATGTCATGGCTGAGATCTCACTCCGACTCTCCGAGGCGCAGTTCCGGTCTTCTACAGTCTAGTCAATCATTCCTCTCCCTCCGAGGAACCTTGCCGTCGCCCGGTACACAAACCCCCTCCCTCTCCTTTCCCGCTGATACACTCCTTTGCTTATCATACATACTCCGCCGATGGGGACTTCAATACCACTGGGAACGGACGAAAACGAAACAAGGAATGCACCTTCACATACACGGGAATGCGACATCCCTACGCACCTCACCTATAGGTAATAACCTTTTCTGTTGAATCATCAATGCATTCATGCTTCGATCTCACTACTCTGAATCATAGATCATGGCTAGACACATAACACCTCATCATAATAACTTCAAAGTTATATACTTCTAAAACCTACTGAGTAGCCGAGTGATATCCCGTGAAGGCGAGACACCACCCCCAGACCACACAAAACCAGCCACCAAAAAAGAAAAAGAAACCAAGTACCATTAGTACATAGAGAGGGAGAGAGATAGAAAGTAATAAACAAGACAAGGGAAAAAGAAAGAAGAGAAACTAATCTATTGAGTCAAGGATCGAGAGAGAGAGGTGGAGGGAAACGTAAGAGGTATCGGGTTTAATACCATACACTGTGTAAAAGAGAGAGGGAGAAGAGAAGACGAAAGCAAGCAAGCAAGCAAAAAATACATGTTGTGCAGAGATATACCTCTGTCCCATCCATCCATCCATCCATCCCATTCCGTTTCGGTCGTTCGGTCGTTTTCGTCGTATCATCAGTTTGGTAAAATGCAAAAGCAGAGAGAAGTAGGCAAGGAATAAGAAAGAAAAATGAGCAAGACAAGATTAAGGTACTGCAGCCATCCTGGCGTGGGCGAGTGGTGCCAACGTCAAAGTCAAAGTGTCCACCGGGTAGCATGAAAGAAAAAAACGCGGACAGAAGGACATCTCAGGCTCGAGTAAGGAGAGCGTGCTTATTCGACATCCTTGCCCTCAAACACGACGCTCTCCGCCACGGGCATGGCAAGGCCATCTTCCTTGGCGCGGTTGAACCAATTACCCATCCTGGAAAAAAGAAAATCAGTATCTTGTTCGTCCGTAGCGAGGGAGCTGCTCGTTCGCCGGTTCCAGGAAGGTACTAACCAGCTTGAACGTTTGCTCGATCGTCTTTCGAACCGGCCATCATCGCCATCCATGTAGTCTCCCGAGATCTTGCGGCCCAGCGGAGGACTCATCATTCCGTTGCTCACGTTCTTTTGAACAAGGGTAAGCGGCCTAAGCTTATTGCCCGCAATGATGGGAGTGGACGGGTGGGATGATGGGGGAGAGGAGATGGACGACGCGTCGGTATCCGACACGCCCGAGTCCACCGAAGCGCTACTGTCTCTCGTCCTGGTGCTACGCGTGTAGTGGTCTCCCGTAGATCCACCGTAAAAGGTGCTCGCACGCGGTGTAATCATGCCTTCTCCGCGGTAGAGGTGGTTAACGACGGATCCGCCATTTCCTGCATCAGACTTGGAACGCGCGTGTCCACGTCCGGTCGGCGAACGGTGAGATTGCGACCTCTGCAGACCGGCCATGTTCTCGGGCCTGAATGGCGGCGGCGCCTTGCGTTGAGCGAGGGACTTGGTCCTCTGCAGGATACCAGTGCGCATCTCCTCCACGGGCTGTGGCGGCAGCGGCTTCCCGGTGTCGGCAGAAGCGATCGACGAGCTCGAGCTGAAGGCAGTGGTCTTGTCCAAGATCGCCTCCGAGTCCTTGCTCTGCAGGATACGCTCGATGATGCCGCTGATGTAGAGAGACATGGCCTTGTTCGTGTCCCGAAGAGTCTTGAGTTCGCCCTCCAGTTTCCTAATCCGTTCAGCGTCCTCCTTCTCCTTATCGTCTTCAATCTCGGTCTCGGCGTCTCCGAGCTCTTCGGCGAGGTTCAATCCGAGTGAGTTCCTCCTAGGGGACCCCGGGACCTTCTTGACGGCTTCCCTAACGTCGACTTCTGGCTCGGGGTCGGAGAAGGCGTTCGACAGGTAATCGCCACGAGGGAAATCGCCATTCAGCGCCGCCGAAGACAGGAGCAGCTGGAAGCTCTCGTTGTCCTCCATGAGGCGTGCGTTGGTCATGCGAACCTCCAAGAGCTGCTGCTCGAGTTGGTGCAGCTTGGTACCTCCCATGTGGTCGGCTTCGGCGAGCCGGATCTGAGCCTCGGCGAGTTCGAGCCGTAGTGATTCAATGAGCTTATCCTTCTGCAAGAGCAGGATGTTCTGGGGAACCGCCGAGGGCGTTGAGGGCGCAAAGGGCACCGAATCATCACCGTTGTTCGAATCCGCTAGAGAGTCGAAAGTTAGCAACAAACATCAACGGTCCAACGCCATTATGCGCTCTGAGCTCACGAACAGTTTCGCTCCTTGTCCGGCGTACCTTGCCGCTGTGTCAGCGAATCTTTGAGTCTCTGGATGATCGTGTTGAGCTCCTCCTCTCGATCCAGAAGCTCCTCCTTCTCCTGTTGAGCTGCGATCCTCTAACGCACCACAAAACGCGTCAGCTACATGCAATCAAATTGCGATTGCCCCCCCAACCAACAGCGGAAGCTGACCTCGGCCTCGTAGATATTCTCCTGATCCCTTTTGCTCCGTGTCAGATCCTTGATCTGCATTTCCAAGGTCTCTGCACTCTCGTCCTTGGAGTGCATCTGTTCCTCGATCCGGGCATAATCGGCCTGAGTCTCGTCAAGCCTCTGCTGCAGCGCCTTCATCTGCAGCGCGTACTGAGCAGCCGCGACCTCAGCAGCAGACTCGCTCTTCGACAGCCTGGTCCGGAGGTCCTCCAAGATGGCGGCGTTCTCGAGCTCCGTGTCGTCGTTCGACAGGGGTCGCCCCCTAACGGCAGAGCGCGCACTCAGGGGCGATCCGAGGTTGGAGCCGACACTGCTTGTGGGCCGGTGTCCGCCTTCGCGGATCGTGTTGCGACGCGACATACCGGTTGCGTTCTGGATCGGCGAGCCCGCCAACGACGGCGCAGGAGACTGACGGCCGGCGGATGCTGCGGGAGACTGGCGGCCGGCGGAGGGAGGCTGTGAGCGCCGATTGACGTTGCTCAGCGAAGGTTTTCGCGATGCGGTCGTGGATGCCATGTTGCGTTACGCGTGCGTCGGTCGATCCGTGGATGAGATGGACGGGACTTGCAATGCGTATGGGAGTTGCAGCTGCTGGTGTGCTGCAGCTGGGCTAGGGGTTGAGGTTGGTTTTTGTGGTAGCCAAAGAAAGGGGCAGGGCGTGTCTTTGTGATGACAACAACTTCACAGAAGCCGTGGCAACGGGGGATGTGGGATTTTGTAAGAACTCTATAGATATGGGGAATTTTCGTATCTATAATAAGGGGCGTCGGAAGGGATGGGGGCGGTTTTTTTTCTCTTCTTCTTTGCGTAACAACGTTAAGAATATAATTGGGGGGGAAGAAAGGAGACGAATGGCGAAAGGAGGCCTTGAAGAAGAATAAGCAGCTGAGCAGCTGTTTATAGGGAGAGGAGAGAGAAGGGGGAAGGAGAGGGAGAGGGCGAGGATGCAGAGGAGGCAGAGGACGAGGATGCAGTAGAGTACCTAGAGTATCTAGAGCAAGCACCTCCTAGTACCGGTCGAGGTAGCGGTGATGGTGATGGTGGTGGTGGTGGTAGTGGAGGTGGTGGTGTTGTTGTTATTTTGTTACTGTTCCGTCTCCCTCGCCTGGCCATATGGAAGAACGGTAAGTACGGGGAACTAGAGTACTCTCTCCACAGTACTTTCTCTCCTCCATCTATCTGCGATGCCGGTAACTACTCTATTCCACTCTCGAGTGTCTCCTCCATCCACTTGCGATGCCTGTATACTCTCTAGCCAATTTGCTCTATCCAGGTATGAGGTTTTGCCGTACTAGCTACTCTCCATACAAATGCCACTCTGGCGACACCAGAAACGGCCGGCACCAGTTGCTGTCTGGGATGGTACACAGGCTGCTGGATGTAGTTATGCTGCTGGGTGCTGCCGTGAATATGTACTCCGCTGCACCGCTGCACGCAGGTCATGCAAGTTGATGCTTGCTAGAGGTCACTGCAATGAAAATGGGAAACACAGAGACTTCGCTCCGAGCAAGCGATCGGATGGAATGCGCTGTTTAGGGGCATAAGGGCAATGGTGTCCTGTGTGCGGTGGGTACTTGGTTAGGTTGCATACCCGTATTCTGGAAGGGAGGTCCACGGGATGATGCTGGTGATGGCGGCGATGCTGAGAATGATGCTGGGAGTGATGCTGATAATGATGCTGATAATGATGCTGATAATGATGCTGATAATGATGCTGATAATGATGCTGATAATGACGCTGATAATGATCCCGATAATGATGCTGACAATGATGCTGTGCCGCGGAACACAATGAGAACGATGGTCACGATGATGTTGTTTTTGCATACCCATTACAATTGCTTGCTGCTGCTTCATGCCGACACGATGGGAGCATTGGCTTCGATGGGGGCAACCAACCTCATCATTACTCGACGAGGTGGATGTAACTATTATGGCCCGAATAACAATACCTACTATTCTACGGTCCTTGGAATGGACTGCATTGATCGGGCGCGCTGACTGTACGACTTACACGCGCGCACGCTCTTCTCTATCATCGAAACGGAATGAGGGGAGAAGAGTGGGTGGCGGGGGGGAGGTGGCGGGGGATGATTGTGGACGTGGAGAAAGAGATGAGATCGCGCGGATGCTAACCAGTGGTTGGTGGTGGTGGAGAGATGAGATCGCGCAGATACATAGCGAGCAGTTGGTTGGGTGGTGGAGAATCTTCGTGCGATGGCCGAGATGGCCGTCGAGATGATCCCTCTCTCTTCTCTCTCTCCCATCCCTCCTCCTCCACGCATCTCGCCCATTGACATGCGACTGATCCTTGTCGCCTCCCGAACTTCGACAGCCGACACCCAGTGCCCGCCCACCCACCCCAGAATTCTTCTAGATTGAGAAGCTGCCACCATCCCTTCCCCAAGGCAGCCTGCACAAACTGCAAGCACCCTCCAGGACAATCCCAATCTTTCGATATGCTCATAGGTCTCTGTGGAGGTGAGTGACTTCGGTTGAAGCGAGAGAAAACGAGAGAACAAGAGAGAGCGAGAGAGCGAGGACCTGCCGAGCCTGTGCCGAAGAAAAAACACTCGAATCGAACCGCGTTGGAAAAGCGCCACTACAGCTGCTAACGGTGTGCACCCCCCGCATCCAGGTCTGTGCGCGGGAAAACGTGCGGTTGCCACTTTTCTCGTCGATGTTCTGGAGTTCACCGAGTTGGTGTTGGTCGAAGAGCAAGACGACGACGGCAGTCCAACACCGGACGTCAGTCCGAATCCTGGCGTGATCTCCTTCAATAATGTTCAAGACTTGATGGACTATATCACGCCGCGATGGACGCAGCGCTTCGTTCTCACGGCCATCAAGGACAAGAAGGTGCTGGACGAGCTGTCGACTCGGCCGTTCTTCATCCTGATCGGTGTCGACGCGCCTGTCTGTGTGCGTTGGGCGCGGTGCGTGAAAAGGTTGGTGTCAAGCGATTGCTCCCCAGTAGAGCCAGATTTGCTGAAACGTATATACCCTCCATCTCCAGACGAGAGGCTACCGGCGCACCGTCGATAGCTCTCGAGGATTTCCTCCGTCATTCAGACAAGCAGATGTACGACCCGGTCACGGGCATCATCGGCATTGTCGACCGAGCCACCATCAAGCTGGTCAACCTCGACAACTCTCTCGCCGCCCTCCACCGCAAACTAGTGTATCTCAACCTCACCGACTCCGAGAGGCTGCGGCCCGGATGGGATGCGTATTTCATGCAGCTCGCCTCGCTGGCGGCAAAGAGGAGCAATTGCATGAAGCGCCGTGTGGGATGTGTGCTGGTCCGCGAGAAGCGCGTGATCGCCACCGGATACAATGGCGCTCCAAGGGGACTTAAGAACTGTAACGAGGGAGGCTGCGCGAGATGCAACGGTGGCTCTGCAGGCGGCACCGCTTTGGATGCTTGCATGTGCCTCCACGCCGAGGAGAATGCGCTTCTGGAAGCGGGGAGGGAGAGAGTGGGCGCCGGCGCAACTTTGTATTGCGATACGTATGTGACCCCCGTCTTGGGATGACCGGTTGTTGGCGGACTAACACACCCGCCTAGCTGTCCGTGCCTCACTTGCAGCATCAAGATTGTCCAGGTGGGTATCTCGGAAGTCGTTTACTACCAAGGATACAGTATGGATGCTCAGGAAAGTCACGCTTCCACTACATGTCACGTGGCCAAACTGACTGAACGGTATCCAGACTGCGGCTATCCTCAAGGACAGTGGTGTCAAACTCAGGCAATATCATCCGGTAAGTTGGTAGCCTTGCTGTTGATCCAGGTGATCTCATCATCTAACAGCCTGAAAGCCGAAGGACGGTGTTGTTGGATGATAGGATTCCCAATAGACACGTTTGCACTCAGGTGGTCTCTCCAATCTTTCAATGCGAATAGATGTCTCGCAGCGAACCAGTTGAATTTCCTGCGACAACCCAGATTGATCTCAGTACACCACATGTTCCAAGCTCCGGCCCTTGGTGTGTTCCTCATGCGATATTACTCAGCCACACCCACCCCATTTCAGGGTCAGGTGTCAATGTTTCCGCATATAAGGTTGTAGAAGCTTCTTAATAGCTCTTTTATGTATCGTGGGGTGCGGGGTGCGGGGAAATGGGCCGCTATGATACGAGATGCGCATGCGTCGGATCATGGATGCTGACCGACGCCCCATTTTCGAGTGCGTCTCTATGAATAGCAGCACGAGCACGTGATGGAATAGTGGAGAGTCAGACGAGAGCTGAGATCTCATCGGATTCACCATGATGCCCCCAGGGAGCAATTGGGGAGCGATATCGCGATGGATCTAATAGTCCATGAGCATGTAGTGTAGAGGACCTATGCACGTCTCGCTACGGAAGTAAGGCGCAAACATTCGTATGTAGACACTCGTTCGAATCGCGATGTAACATCCCATGTACCAAAGCGGTATGCTGGATTTCAGACCCCGCGTCCTCTATTTCACTCCTGTGCGACAGTCGGCTCAACCTCGATGGATGACATGTCGTGATCCGCCGGCCCACATGGTGGGGGTGGACCCGCGGAGGCTCTAAAATTTCTCTTGCATGGCGGGGCAGGGCTCAATGAGGGGTGCTAGACAAGCATTCTACCTCCACCAGCGAGTCATAGCAGATAAACAAAACCACCAACCGTCTCCACCGAACGAGAATCGCCCGCCAGCCAGCCAGCCCAAATGCCTACGGTCCACCTCCTCGACACCGTAGCGTGAGCCTCCTTCTCCTCCTCTTCTCTCTCAATTCCGCAGCCGACCGGCAAGCAAATCGCTGACAGCAAATCGCACAAACCAGCGGCAACATCCGGTCCCTCGTCAATGCGATCGAACGAGTAGGCTACACGGTAGAATGGGTCAAGAGCCCCTCCGATCTCGAGACGGCTGAGGTACTCCCCGCTTCGCCCAATGTCACGGCACGGCACAGCATTAACCCCGCCCGTCCAGCGTGTGATCTTCCCCGGCGTCGGGCACTTCGGGCACTGCATGTCGACGTTGTCAGCGGCGGGGTACGTGGAGCCCTTGCAGGCGTTCATCGCGTCCGGGAAGCCATTCATGGGGATCTGCGTTGGTATGCAAGCGCTTTTCGCGGGGTCGGAAGAGTCGGCCACGCACGCGGGCCTCGGCGTCATCCCGGGCACGCTGCGGTTGTTCGACAGCGCCACCAAGTCGGTCCCGCACATCGGCTGGAACAGTGCCGCTACGCGCACGATCACGGACGAGTCCCTGTTCGGCCTGAAACGGAATGCGAAGTACTACTATGTCCACTCGTACGCGAAACAGATCGATAACGACCTCGACGGTTGGGATGTCGCCACCGCGAAGTACGGCGATGAGGAGTTTGTGGGTGCGATTTCAAAGGGAAACGTCTTTGCTACGCAGTTCCATCCAGAGAAGAGTGGGTATGCGGGACTGGCGGTGCTGAAGGCGTTCCTGGCGCAGCAAAGGCTCGCGCCGTTGGTGGGGACGGCGACGAGGGTCAATGAGGATGCGGAGGGCGGGTTGACTCGCAGGGTCATCGCGTGTCTCGACGTGCGGACCAACGACGCGGGGGATTTGGTGGTGACAAAGGGCGATCAGTATGATGTCCGGGAGAAGGCGGCAGGCGGGGGAGTCCGCAACCTCGGCAAGCCCGTGGAGATGGCCCAGAAGTACTTCGAGGACGGTGCCGACGAGGTGACATTCCTGAACATCACGTCGTTCCGCAACTGCCCGGTGCAGGACCTGCCCATGCTCGAAGTCCTGCGGCAGACCAGCAAGACGGTCTTCGTCCCGCTCACCATCGGCGGCGGCATCCGCGACGTCATCGACACCGACGGCTCGACCGTCTCCGCCCTGCAGATCGCCACGATGTACTTCAAGTCCGGCGCGGACAAGGTGTCCATCGGCAGCGACGCCGTCACCGCCGCAGAGGAGTACTACGCCCGCGGCTCGCAACTCGCCGGCTCCACCGCGATCGAACAGATCTCGCAAGCATACGGCAACCAGGCGGTTGTCGTATCCGTCGACCCGCGGCGCATCTACGTCGCCGCCCCCTCCGCCACGGCGCGCACCACGATCAAGACGGCATTCCCCGGCCCAAACGGCGAGGAGTACTGCTGGTACCAGTGCACGATCAAGGGCGGCCGCGAAGGCCGCGACATGGACGTCCAGCAGCTCGTCAAAGCGGTCGAGGCCATGGGCGCCGGAGAGATCCTGCTCAACTGCATCGACAAGGACGGCACGAACTCGGGGTTCGATCTGGAGCTTATCCGCGCTGTCAAGAACGCCGTTAGAATCCCCGTCATCGCCTCCAGTGGCGCAGGTAATCCCGATCATTTCAGGGAGGTATTTGAAGAGACGACTACGGATGCGGCGTTGGGCGCCGGAATGGTATGTGTATTTTCTTTTCTTTTCTTTCCTTGGTCTTGATGGTGGGATTGGGGTGGGCGTGCGTGCTGACGAGAGTAGTTCCATCGTGGTGAGTACACGGTTAAGCAGGTTAAGGAGTTTTTGGCGGATAAGGGGTTGTTGGTCAGGAATGAGGAGGATACTGAAGTATAGAGGAATATATTGGGTACCCAGGTGTTTAGAGGGCCATGCTCCAGAAGTATATCACTGCAGGTGGAACGTGTAATTAACCATGATGACGGCGGTAAATATACTGCAAGGTCATGGTCTCCTTCTTGCCACAGGACAATGATGATTACAACCCCATTTTTGTGCATCCTATTAAGGGCATCTTCAATTCCGGATCGAGTGATATCGAGTGATTAGCTCGATCGCGAGCACGTCAGTCCTCTTTCCTCTTTTCTCTATATCAGCCCCCGATGTCCCATCTTGCTTCGAGACCACTCTTGCAAGTTCCAACAGCGTAGCAATAACTACCGTGACGAAGACTCAGCACACGACCGAGTGATCGTAGGTACATAATTTTACCCCAGCTACTCGCCCTGTCGGATACCGTCTACCCCAACTGCTACTCGTCCTGCCACCGAAAGAGTATCCTCGCTCATCTCTTCGCTCAGCTCCTCGCCCATCATCTGGCTCAGCTCGCCCTTGCTCTTTGCTCATGCCACTGCTGTTGTGCTTTGCTTATGCCTGTGCTTGAAGAAGGAAAAGGAAAGGAGAGAGGGATGGAGGAAGAGGGATGATTTTATAGGTATCGCCGTCGGTTAGCTTGGAACGTAGGTCTCACCTTTTGAAGGGTCGTTCTAAGCCCTAGTTAGGGCTTCTTCTTCTTCCGCACACATTCTACTCACCTTCCTTCCTTCTCTTCCTCTTCCCTCTTCCTCTTGCTCTTCCTCTTCCTCTTCTTCTTTCTCACTACCATCACCAAAACCAACACCAATACCACTCTTGATAGGTAATCTTCTTTCCACAAAGAAAGGAACCATCCGACCAGCATCAGGAAGGACGACATCACCGGGATCGAAAAGAAGTGCACCAACAATCGTCCATACGCCACATCTTGGTTCTCGATAGGTACCTCGACTGACGACGTGGGCATGCAAACATGGGGGACGTTTGCAGTGGGAACCAGGAGACCAACTGGACAACAACAACTTACTACGCGGCGGATTCTACCGGACCAGCAGCAATCAGAGAATTTTGTGGGGAGGAAGGCAAACCATCGATCGATGAGTATCACGAAAACAGAGCAAGAGGCCGGGATAAGCAACTAATCCAAGTGCATACTTACTTGCCACCTCAGACACACAATGGAGTATGTAAGCTAGGTCGACTCACCGATGGTGTCAGCTACATACCGCTCGCGGCCTGCAATTCTTTGAGGTAGATAACGGTTGTTATCCAGGAATGTAGTCCACTTTTCGACTCGTAATATCAACTTTCAAGTCGGGTTGTTGGACAGCGGCAGGGAAATGGAGTCGATGCCATGTGTCTATTACCATGATCTAACCAGGTCACATGCAATCAATCATCAATGATTAAACCAAAAAAAATCTCGGTAGGTATCTCTGGCGGGCGGAGAAGGTTCGTTGGTTTGGTTTGCCGTACCTAGTTCGAAATGGCTGTATGCAAGATAAATCGATGTTATCTCCCTCTCTCCCTCTCTCCCTCTCTCGCTATCTCTGGTATCCGACGGCAACGAGAAGACTTTTTGTTCTGTTCTGTTCTTTTTAAGGTCGGCATTGTAGCACATTGGTACAGCAATATCTCTCCGCAAAAGTGCATGTGGCGGGATACAATGGTGAGCGAAGATATGGAGAAGGAGAGAGTGCGCTACCATTCAGCAATCTTGTATGTATTCCGGAGTTCTCTGCGTACATATTGCCGTGGGCTGCTGCACGTGTCCAAGGGATTACAATGTTTACGTGCATGTATATAGTGGGTTATCGACGCCTCGCGGAGTCGCGGAGTTGCGGAGTTGCGGAGTTGCGGGTTCATAATTCCGCGAGCAGCGAAAACACCAGGCAGTGATCATGGCTCAGTGGTAGCGAATTTCCTAGGTGGTGAGGGTGCACGCCCAAGGTCCATCGGCTGTACAAGGCTAGCAACCTTGGGGAGGACGCTCTTTTGCTGCGGTTAAAGCCGCGTTTCGGTTTGTTTCTTTTTTGGTTTTCTACAGCAGAGTACTGCATAGTTGCTCAGTCGAGTGATTGTTTTGTTTTGTTTTCGTGGGCGGGGCGAACCGTCGAGTCGGGGGTCGTCGACGGGCATCGCGCAAACAGCGCCTATTATGTATAAGCGGCTAAAACGGCAACTGCTCAGCCAGTCTCGTGGCGGACTTGATCTGCGCTACGGGTCTTCCGTCCTCGACCTTATGGCAGCCTCCCGGCCATATGGGTACTATACATGCAAGAACATGGGCATCACTGATGTTGTTATATGTAGTTCTTTGATTCTTCGTTATGGTGCCGTCGTCTGATGTTATCTTTGTACCATTCACTCTAAGCTAGGTAGGTATTTTCTCTTCCCCAGAATAGTACCGTCACTCACTAGTATCACTGCCCCCATACCGGCAGTATCAAGCGCGAGCCGAATCCAACCGAGTACCAGCCTCAGGCTCTCAGCCCGAGCCCCATACCTATCCCCTACATGTCCGGGGCGGGAGTATACCTGTTGCACTGCAAAGTATGCCCGACTAGGCCCGTCTAGGAGGCGGCAGTGCGTCTACACAACCACACGGCTCACTATCTCGATTAGTTTGGTTGCAGCTGTGCTGGTAGCAGTCACGGTTGCTACTATGACAGTCGCCGTCGCCACCTCTGACCCACGGTCCTTCAGACATCCGCGGTTCCAATACCAGAGAAATGGCAACAGCGCTGATACAGAGGCCATCGGGCCGGGACTTGAGTTACAAAAAGGCAGCCATGTTGCAGACAGGCCACCGGCGAATACTACTACACCGGTGGCAGACTCTACTACCACACCGAGGGCGGCGGCGGACTCTACCAGGTGCTAGGTACACTGTCAAATGTTTAGAAAAGCTTCGGGCGAAGGGAAGTGAGAATATACGCTGCTAGATACATAATGTTGGAGAGCCTGTTTGTGCTAATTCACACATGTTGCTTTGCGGAAGAGCTCATTCGCCGAATGCTTTTGATATCATTCATTGCCAACCTTTCTGCGCCAATCCACATTGGGTCAAGCTAGTGAGGTGCAACAGTTATACTCCCGCCCCGGACATGTAGGGGATAGTACATATGCGTGAGCCAGCCAGGACCAAGTTCCTACATAACGCCAGGGTTTTGTCCGCATACATTATGTACTCACGAGTTACTTCTCATGACTTGCCACCGGCCTATGTATGTAGAAGTTCCAGATTCTCCGGCGCCCACTGGGAAAGTAACTTTCTGGACACACGTGTTGCGAGTAGGACATATGACCGTGAGCTAGGTATCACAACGGTCTAGTCAGCAGCTTCTTGGAAGCACAATGTATGTACAATACATATATACATGGCTCGGGGGCGAAAGTAGGTAGAGTCAACGGACGCAATTGATCCACCAAGGTATGCATTGCACTCTACAGCGATCAGGTCTTTCATCGCGTCCACGGTACGGCTGGGTTACCTACCTTATAACAGTGGTTGTTATGGGGAAAAATCAACCTGTTTGGGTGCTTACTTTCGTAGATAACCATCGCCCGCACAACACTCGTCTGGATTCATTTACTTCGAACTACCGGTACCATAGTGGTCACCTGGCGCTCATTCTGTGTATGTACAATACTCTACTCCCAGATTCAACACCATCACAAAACGTCTGGCCGGTGGAATGATGATTCGTCACAGTCTAGGTATAGTAGAGATAGACGAGCAGGGTAAGGTTCGAACTTCAGGCTCGTTGATGATGACACCAGCCTCCAGATGCTGTTGTCTGCCACCATAGATAATGAGAGGAGCGGTATGTGTGTAGGATAAAGATGGTGGATAAGATCAGATCAGATCAGATCGATGTAATTGGGCTTCCGTGCACTCCTCCGAAAGACGATTGGAGATCGGAATCGACGTCTCGGACACTCGGACACTCGGACACTCGGACACTCAGCGATATGATATATCCCTATGGCCCACAATTTCACGGATGGACTCCACACGGCCTACATATGGAGTAGAGGACCATTGGATACTCTATCTATGTAGAGTACGTAGAGCACCCTGCGATCGTGGATAGTTATCTACCAGGTATGTAGGTGGATAGGTAGTCGGACGGGTATGGGCACGATCCATCATCCAACTACCGTCCGCATACTCGCTCACTCACTCGCTTTTTTCTCACCCATCTAGGGTCTAATTACTACTATTAGTAGGTTCCAGTGATCCAACCAGTTCTCCCAACCCGGTGGACGGACCCCGGGTACCGTAAATGTCTAACCATCTTCACCTTCACCAGTCGACGGGCTACCTACTCTAGGCAACTACTGGTGGGTACTTATCGACAGAGAGGGCCCCATCTCTGTCTCACTCTGTCTCTGTCGCTGTCTCACTCACTCTCACCAACAAGTTTCGTCTCGCTCGCAGTTGACCGACGACGACGACGACGACGTTTCCCGGAACTCCGTAGCCCCTCCTTCCCATCCCACGCGGCACATCTACCGCACCTACCCCCTCCCTCCTCCTCCCCTTGCCTTCCCTCCCTCCCCAAACCCCAACCCCAACAACCGGCCCGTGCTCTTCAAGCTGCTTCCTGCAGGCTAGTTACTTACGCATGGTCCCCGTCCGTCCCCCGTCCGTCTGTCGGGGAGAGGACCGGGGACTCGGGGGACCGGGGGGAAGGGGTGGGAGGGGTGGGAGGGGTGGGAGGGGGGGAGGGGGGGAGAGTTGGACGGGGGGTGGACCGTGGGACGGGGGATGGAGGGTGGGATGAGGCTAATCGAAATCAAACCGGCACATCTTCATCTCTGCGTGAAACGCCGAACCGAACCGACGGAGAATACTCTAGTCACCTTGGGCCAGGGACGGCGGAGGGTGAGTGAGTGGGTTGAGTTACTTTTTGAGGGAAGGTGGGAGAACTGTCAAGTTGGGGGCGGGCCGGGGGGACGGGGAGAAGGGGGGGGGAAGAGTTTCTGGAAGAAACGGGAGAAGGAGAGGGAGAGGGCTGACAAAATGAACATACTCTACTCTACTCCATCATAATAAAAATCCGGGGACTGGGACTGGGACTGGGATGGGAACTGTGATTGGGACTGGGACTGGGAGTGAATCGAATTGAAGCCTGGGGGAGGGGAAATTTGGATTATTTCGGCATCCGGAGAGGTGCGAGGGTGCGAGGGTGCGACTCGCGAGGGAGACTGCGAGGGGGAGCGGCTTTATCCAAACGATGCATAGCATACCGGTACTTCTTCTTACTTTGTGCTCTACGGGGGGGACAAGTGCCAAGCGAGCACCGACGGTACTCTATGGCTCCAGTTGGAGTCCGGGACATCGTTGTCACCGTCGCCGTCGCTGTCGTCGTCCGTAGCGAGATCCGAGTCCGAATCCTCGAATCCGAGAAGACGAAGCGTCAGTGGTCACAGCGCCAAGTCTCACAACCTCAGCTTTTCACTTTCAAGTTCCCAGTTCCAACTCCACGGGCACGGCTCCGGCTCCGGGGCTACCAGTATGTGTGCATACTCTACCTGCACTTGTCGCATCCAGAGCTGGGATCCCGCTCACGCACTTGGCACTCACGCACCCAGCCCCCTTCGCGACGCCCTCGCCACACACGAGCATTCGGCACCACTGTTGGAGCTTGAAACTTGGGGCGAAGAAGCTTGAGGCGAAGAAGCTTATGCCCGGCTGGGCAGGATCGTCGTGCAGTGGCAGCGCGTGATAGAGTACGGACGATCAGATCAGATCAGCCTGCGGACCTGGGGGCACTCTACGCGTCGACACGCCGCGACCAGTCAAGAGCTTCCGCTCAGCGCTGCGACCACAGCAGCCCCAGCTCGGCAGCACCAGCTCGGCAGCACCAGCTCGGCAGCACCAGCTCGGCAGCACCGATTCGCCGCCCTTCCCTTCGAGTCTTCGACACGTTGGAGCGCCTTGGAAAGCCGCCTCTCCTCTACTGTGGCCCCGTGAATAACCGTCATTGGAGTAACGACAGCCATCGCATCGCTTCGGTTCCAAGTGAGCGAGTGAGTGAGTGTTTGTGCGCAACAAACAACGCCGCGTTCCTTACACGTCCTTAGATAGACTTTACACGTTCCCATTTGTCACAGTCGAGTTGTCGAGACTCGACATCCCCCCACCCCACGCTCCAGACCGCGCGAGATGCATTGTGCACACTGCACACTGCAAGAAGCGACGGGATCTTTTAATAACCGACCTCTCCTCTCCGCTCTGCGAGTCTGCAACCTCGCGAGTCGCCTGTGTGTCTGTCTGTCTTTCTGTCTCTGTGTGTGTGCAGTGTGTGTGTGCAGTGTGTGTGTGCAGTGTGTGGATATTACTAGCAGATATGCGTGTTCCTCGCCTGTTTACTCCGGAGACAAAAGAAAAGCCAGGGAAGAGAAGGAAAAGGAAGGGAAGGGAAGAAGGAAAGAAGGGAAGAAGGAAAGAAGGGAAGAAGGGAAGAAGGGAAGAAGGAAAGAAGGGAAGGAAAGACATGGGTGTCAGTCAGTCAGTCAAACGAACCGCCCACGGGTGGCAGGTCCAGAACCGCCGAGAAGTCCGTCCGGATTTTCTTTCGAAGGGAGAAAAGAAGGGACGGAGGCTGGACGGGCTGCGATGCGCTGCGCATGCGATTCGGAAGCAGGACAAAGGGGAGCATTAAAAATAAAAATAGCTAATCGACTCCGCTCCCGCAGGCCATGCGGGAATATGTACGGTAGAGTAACATAAACGCTCGTGGACAAAAGAAAGAGTGCGAGCATGAAGTTGGTTCTCTAGCTGCTTGGATCTAGAGTAGAGGGACTCGATGAGAGCTGAAGATTCATGGGAGGTGACGGCTTGTCGCACGAAAGACCGATCTCGTGCCTTTGATCTCTGCTCATCGCCGCCGGCCACTCTCTCGTTGAGGGGCGACAGCGCGGGCGGCGAGCATGAACACGTCAGGGCCAGCCACCAGCACCACCAGCACCACCACCGCCAACCACCAGCACCACCACCGCCAACCACCAGCACCATCATCCTCATCACCACCACCACCACCACCACCACCACCACCACCACCACCACCACCACCACCGCCCCCATGTGAAATTGTGAATGGGGCTATCTGTCGACCAGAGGCTTGTTCCAGCCCGACAGCAGTTCTGCATTCCAGAAACGGCGGCGCGATGATGGCAAAAATACCATCTACCACTCTACGTACCCGAAGCGGAACAGAACGAAAAAACGACGCTAGAAGGGTTCCAGAAGTGATCAACCACACCTTTCCGTCCCCAACCAAAGATACGCGAGCGCCTCCGCAGGCCAGATGTCATGGTCCCTGTGGGTTGGATCATGTTCTTCCGTCTCTGCATGCGTGCGTGCGTGCGTGCGCGCGTTGCATCCACCGAGAGAGAGGGAGAGAGCGATATCTGCGTCCCATCGTGTCGTCGAACGAAACTTTGCCATACATACAGCAGCGGGCAGCGGAAGCAGCGTGCCGATTTCGATAACAGTGCTCTCGGCTCAGATCACGATCGCGGACTCCACGACCAGTGGGGAGACGGGATGGAGCAGGGCGAAATGAAGTGAAGTGAAGTGAGGCTCCGCTCCGCTTGAATATCCGACCACCACCATGCGAAGGCCGAATCATCATCATGGGCCAGTGGCCACACCCACACCCACACTGACCCGTGACGGTGACTCGATAGACAGGGCACCGAGATTGCCAAGGTAGGCACTCAACATACATGTGCACACATGATATGCACTTGGTTCGGAGTCCTCACATACCCAGTGCTTTTCGCTCCCGCAGGATTCCATTCTGACGTGGGATTCGATGGACGAGGAGGAGGGGCCTAGCTGGGGTCTCTGTCTTTTCTGCAGCTCGAAGCTTTCGGCTATCTAGTATCTGTCTTGAAGAAGAAGGAAGGGGTGAGGAAACTTCTAACGATGTCGACCCGGAGATACATATGCGCAAGTGAAGGCATGTATGCTGATGATGATGCCTGTGTACTACTACTACGGTACTACCAGTTGTATGTAGTAGATGTACTTGAGGAACGAGTGAGCATGTCATCTGAAGATGTCGTCCTCTCGGGCAGCCATTGCGTTCCGAATCGTTTGGGACGGGCAATGACACTTTTTTATTTTCCGAACTCCCTTTTCCTTTCTTTTCTTTTTCTCGTTTCCCTTTCATTTTTATCTCCCCTTTTTTTTTATCTTTCCCTTTTTTTTTCCCTTTTTCGTCTTTTCTTTCCCTTCCACTCCCACTCCTTTTTGTCGGATACGGTTGCTCCCTTTTTTCCTTTCCGTCCCTCCTTCCTCATCTTCCTGTCACCTCGAGCCCTCTCCACACCACCACCACCAGCCCAACGCCACGCACAGGCGTCATCGTGTTCTGGAAACCGGGAAGTGTGCAAGGTGAGTGGCCACCGTCCCTTCGGCGCAGGGATTCCCGCCAGAGAAAGAGAGTGGAAGAGGCCACTAGCGGCGGCGGTGGATTTGCGAGGGCCTTTCTTTCGGTTTTCGCTGCACTGCGCTGCCGGGATCAGTTATTAGCTGGTTAGTGAGATGTGTGATGCGGGTGGAAGCTGAGTCGGCGGAAAGGCAGCAAGCCACCACGGCCAGGTGCATGGATAAGTAACATCCACTCTAACTGCGTAGAGTAGTCCAAGTACTCTATGCTTGCTTGCTTGCTCTGCTTGCCAACAGCGCAAGCAGAGCAAAAGCAAAAGCAGCCAAAGCCAGCATAGCAGGGTTGCATGTCGAGATCTTGATTTAAAAAGCCCTCCACCCCCCCTCCCCGCTCGCCCGCCGCCCGTACTTGACGAAAAGCTCGATCAACGAAAAGAACAAAAAAGAATCGGAAAGAAAAAAAGTCCATCATCTCCGACACCTGTCCAACTCCTCATCGCAATCGATCACCGCCTCCGCAGAAACAAAACCCCACTCGCAGATCAAACTACCACTACAATCACCGCAACAATGTTCGAGAACTTCAGCTTCCCCTCGCCAGCAGCTTCCGCGGCAAATGACTCACTACTCCCACCAACGAAATCCACATCCACACCCGCGTCTCGTCCCGGCCGGCAGTCCCTCACGCTACGCCCGTCGTCCGAGCCTCTGACGCCACCGCTGTCGCCAATGCACTCTCCTGGCGTGTCGCCGATAGACTCCGACTCGTGCTACACCTACTTCGACAGCGTGCACGACGACCCGCTGACGTCGACTCTGGCCTCGTTCGCCTTAACCTCGAAATCCAAGCCGCGCTATGCATCCCCCGAGACCTCCGACAACGAATACAACCCATTCGAGGACGTGCGGAGGAAGCGACAGTCGATGGCGCGCATGCAGACCAACGACGACCTCCTCCGCCAGCTCGGCGAGCTGGTCAAGAGGGTTTCTCCTTCCAGCGGCGGCTCGAGAAAGGGCAGCACCGGAAGTCTCACCGAGACCAACGGCGTCGTCAAGAAGCGCTCGTCAATCACCAACAATAAGTCCAGATCGTCGAGATCCAAGCCCGCAAAGTCACGCGAGACGAATAATGGCAGCGGCCGTCGGGTCGCTGTTTGATTGATTGATTGCGGACGGACGGACGGCATACCACGGCACGGATGGACGGACACACGGATGGACGCACGGACGGGATAGGTCGATGGGATTGGTGGAGGAACTTTTTTATTTTCTTTATTCTTTTTTTCTTTCTTCTTTTTCTTCTTTCTTTCTTCTCGGGCTGGGACAAGGGTGGAAAGGGAGATCTAGGGAATCGGAAAGGGTGGGGACACAAACGGCGTTTTTTATCAATTATCTTCAAGGTTGACCGGCAAAGAATGGGGTTTGTTTGTTGGCTTCGGATTGGTTTTGTTCGCGGACAACGTCATTTTACTTACATACATTTCTTCTCTTCTACTTCACTTCTTAAACCGGGAGCTTATTGGGGTTTGCTTGCTTTTGCTTTTGGGAAAACTGGAGTTTATTATTTTTCCAATTTCTTTTTTTATTTTATTTCGGGCAAGGGCTATCGGGAGGGGACACGAAGTGGCGTTGATATCATTTATTTATTTTCTTCTTCATCTTCTTGTGCTTTCTCTTTTCTCTTTCCAGTATCATAGGTATTACAACCAAGAGTTTTGTCTGTTGTGGAATCGAAATCATTATCACCTCTGCATACATACATCTTTCAAGTTTCGCCTCCGTCCGTGAATTTTTATTTTTAGGCTCAGCCTCAGCTTCTAGGAGCACTGGTCTGGTCTGGGTGCAGTGGGTTGTGGGTTGTGGGCTGTGGGTTGTGGGTTGTGGGTTGGTGTTGATCCCCCCCGCCGCCGCCCCCGACCTATGTACCTCTCCACAGCCTCGCATGTGGACGCGCCTAGCATATCATATCATCCAGAGTCTGGCATCTTATGCTGATGCTGATGCTGAGCTGAGCTGAGAGATCACCCACGATCAGCGCTGCTTACATACTTCTTACCTTCTTACTCCTCCATGCTCTTTTATGCTCCTTTATGCGTGAGTGTGACGAGTGTGACTAACAGGACAGGCTCACAGGCCCAAGGTTGGAGGTTGAAGGTTGAAGGTTGGAGGTTGGAGGCATAGCCACAGACTGGCTGCCTGCTATTACATACCTATATACATATTCCTCTGATGCGTCCGGGTCCGTCTCGGGGGAAGGGGCGCGGGGTTGTGGCTCGGAGTGGCTTGGAGTGGGGGAGAGGAATACCCAGGGCGGGTATGTAGGCACGAGCTGACAGGTCCAGTCCAGGATACCAACTGCCTACTCTATGTAGCCTCTATGTATGTACACAGGTGCACTCGCATCCACCAACACCACCAGCACCACGGCCTCGGGATTCGCTGGACTTCTTTCTTTCTGCTCTGGTGCTCCGGCCCCCGGCGAAAGGAACATCAGCGCGCCGCGGGCCGGCAGCCGGTCGGCTCCGACGAGGCTGTAGCCCCGCGCGGATCGAACGCCGGCAGCGGGCGGGGGAGGGGGAGGGAAAGGGCTGGGGGCAAAAGGAGGAGAGGGAGGGGGAGGGGCGGTACCGTCAGCTTGGATTGGGTTGGGTTGGGTAGCGACGAGATGGGCTGGGCTGGTCCGCTGGAGGCTTGGAAGTCTGTCTGCCGACTGCTGCTGCTGCTGGTGTGCGAGTGGGGTGTCTAGGCCCTCCCCTTTCCATTCATCCATCCATCCATCCTATCCATCGGTAGTTACCCCCCACCGCCGCAAAACCTCAAGGCTCAAGGCCTAGGTGCTTATGTATGTTAGGTAGGTGCTTATGAGGTGTGCATACACACACGCCGCACACGCCGCACCGCCCTGACTCCTGAAGCCCCGTCCTCCCCTCCCTCCGTCCCTCCGTACAACCCAAAACCCAAAACCTTGAGTCCACCGCGGCCGCGGGCCAGGCCTGCAGTGAAACGCAGGTGCAGGTGCACAAAGGTGCACGAAAAAAATCGTTGACGTCAGACTGCGGCGTGGTGCGGAGAACTCGGGGACTCGGGGGCTCGAGAGTCTACCTACTGCTACTCGAGGATTGCTGCTGCGGTTGCTGCTGCTCGAGGGTTGCTCCTGATCTGGCAGCATCATGCGCCTGCTTTTGTGCGACGCAGAAATGCAGAGGGCAGAGGTGCAAAGGTGCAGCCTTGGCGATCTGTGGAACTGGAACTGGGGAACTGTGGAACTGTGGAACTTTGATGTTTGTGCTGTGTGCTGTGTGCTGTGTGGTGTGCGGTGTGTGGTGGGTTCCGCTCATGCTCATGCAGGGCGCCGGGTCGCGGACCGCGGGATTTGCGGTGAGAGAGTACGTGGGTGCGTGGGGTGGGATGTGAGTGAGACGTTGTGGATG